TGAGAAACATAGAAATAGTAATTTTATAAATTCTAATTTACAAAGTATAATTAAAAATTTTGATGTACAAAAGTGGAAAAAGAGGGCAAATTGCTAACTACTCATTAAAACATCTCTTTTAATTGGTAATTAACAGTAAAATCTACCAAAGCAGAGTGTAAAAATTTATTTTCCTTTCCTGCTGAGTTCCTTCCCCAAGAAAACTTTGGGAGCTTCACTTGGAAGAGCAAAGGAGAATTTAGGCAAATGTCAGTGAATGGCTGAGTTTGGATATGATAGGAATAATAATGGAGAATTTCCCCTCTGCAGCACTGCCAGGATTCTGAACACAGGCAGGAAACAGAACAAACTGCCCAAATGGGGAGGAAATTTGGGCAGTTTGTACAAGTTTGGAACTCCAGGATGGGCTGACAACACAACTGGTTTTGCTTTTTCTACCCCAACAAATCATTACCAGTGAAAATCGAAATGTTTGCGAGTCCCTTTTGCCAATCCTGGATTTCCACCTTCTAGGATTATCCTGAAATGGATTTTTTTTAAAAAAATTTTTTTTTTAGGCATATCTTCTTTATGAGCCTTGTACTTCTTTTTTTGGTTTGGAATTTGGTGTCACCCTTGTTCAGATTAAGGGATGGAAGTTGTGTTGTCCTGTATCCTGTTCAGCCTAGAGAGGGGGAGCTTCCAGGAGACCTCAGAGCCCTTTCCAGTGCCTGAGGGGCTCCAAGAGAGCTGGAGAGGGACTTCTCATGAGGGCAAGGGGGAATGGTTTTAAACTGACAGAGGACGGGGTTAGAGCAAGTTCAGGTGGGATGTTGGGAGAAAACCCTTCCCTGTCCTGGCAGAGGGTGCCCAGAGCAGCTGTGGCTGCCCCTGGATCCCTGGCAGTGCCCAAGGCCAGGTTGGACACTGGGGCTTGGAGCAGCCTGGCACAGTGGAAGTTGTCCTTGCCATGGCAGGGGTGGCACTGGATAATTTTTAATGTTTGGCTTTCCAAGCCAAACCATTCTGGGATTCTTTCTGTCTCTCACAAATCCATGACCTTGTGCTCACCAGAGAATCTGAGATCCTCCCAAGCTCTCTCAGCAGGCCCTGGACTGTTTGGGCCCCAGATGCTCTGCAGATCCCACCAGAATAGCAGCAGAGCACGTGTGGCTTCACAGAACAGAGCAGATCCAAAAAAATAACCAACTGAAAGGGACAAAACCATGCAGAGTGTCTGGGGGATGGGCAGTGAAGGGGATTTCTGTTATCTGTGTTTCCAGGGTGGAACAGTCCAGCAGGGACATGGGGACAGCTTATCACACCTGTGGGATGCAGGAGCTCCAGGCAGGAACCAGGTGGACAGGAAGGGAGGTGGAATCAGGTGGCCATTTTTAGGTGCTCTAAAAATTCCTGTCTTTTACATTTTCCATCTCCTCCACCAGAGCTGGAATTTGGGTTTGCACCCCAGCTGCTCTGTGGAGCAGACACAAATCACTGGCTGGGCAAGAGCTCCCAATTCTAATGCTTCTTTCCAGATTTTTTTTTTGTGCAGTGACAGATGAGGTGCCCCCATTCCTAAAGCAACACATGGGCAGTTTTAGGAATATTCCTTTACAAAGTGGTTCTGCAACAGAGCAGCATCATGTTTTGCTAACGTCAAAATCTGGAAAAGGGAGATAAAAGAGCAGCTTTTACCTCAGAAAAAAACAAAGGCATGAGAGGTGAAGCTGTGGGGAAAAAAGTTCATGGAGATTTTCTTTTCTTCACTCCACTGAGCAACCACAGGATTCTGTGACTGTTTTCTGTCAAAAAAGATCAAGGATGGATTGGAAAGCAAAGATGGATTTCCGAGTTGCTCCTCTAGGGATGGACAAACCTGGCTTCCATAAACAAAACCATAATTTCACAGAAATGCTTGGACAATCCTGCTTGGCAGTCATGCAATGGGAGTGAACAAATGCACAAATTCTTTATCCAAAATATTGAGACTCCTTTTCTTTACCATGGCATTTATTCTGTTTATGAGAGTATGAAGAAAATACAAACCTGTGAAATAGAAAAAAGCTGGTTTATTCTTGCCTTAAAGTCAAATTGTATTGCAGGATGTGCTAATAAAAGAAAAGGGATTCATGGAGAGGAGACCCTTTGTAGAAATGGTGCTCTGGGAAAGAAACAAAACTTCTCTATGTCCACACCACGGATTTTCTGTGTTCTTATTCCCAGGTCACTGTGTTTCAGCTCTGAGTGGGTGTTTGGACAAATCTGGGCTGGGATTTGAATTAAACCATTTAATTTCTACCTCATTTATAGCTTTTACTGAATCTACTCAGCTCCATTTGTTCAGGCAGGGAGATATGTAGGCTGAGCAGGCAATAGGGAAAAATGATTAAAATGGAAATTATAGTTGGAACAGAAAAACTTTGATGAGTCTGATAAGGGAAACATGGATTTGGGAAAAAAATAAACAGTGGTGTCTTTGAAATTGGCATCCTGGACATGGAGATGGGCCCTGACTTCATGGAATCACAAAATCATGGAATGGTTTGGGTTGGAAGGGACCTTAAAGCTCATCCAGTGCCACCCCATTGGGTGCTCCAAGCCCCAATGTCCAGCCTGGCCTTGGACACTTCCAAGGATGGGAAAACCACAAGAATTTGGAATAATAAATAGATTAAATATATAGAATAGAATAGAATAGAATAGAATAGAATAGAATAGAATAGAATAGAATGGCTGAGCTGGAAGTGACCCACAAGAATCTCCCAGCTGTGATATTTTGAGTTTTGCTTTATTCTGATGGATGTGGCAGCATCCAGCAGGATCCCAGGACTCTATTTTCCTTTCAATCAGCTTTGCAATTGCAAATTTAATTCAGTTCTTTTTCGCTTTGCTGCCCATTTCTGCTACTTTTGAGGGTACTGAGGGGTCACACTGGCAAAGTTAATAAAAAAACAAATTAATTATGGACATTAATTCACAGTGTTACATCTCCAGGTCGTTATGGGAGGGGTTTGGTGCCACCTCCTTGCTCCATCAGGGCCATCCCAGAGCACAGGGCAGAGGATTGTGCCCAGCTGAGTTCCTGCTGTGCTGGTGTTTGGTCATTGCTGTTGAATCTATGAATTCCATGGATGTTCCCAGCTTCTGGAGCCATTCCTGACTCAGGGGATGAGGCTTCAGCCACAGCAAATCTCTGCTGTGTGGCTTCCCCCCACCCAACGTGTAAATTTGTATTTAAAACTCCACAGTGGGTGTGCCAGCTCCTTCAACTGCCAGCTTTCCCCCATAAGGATCTAATTTTAATTAGCGAGATAAATGGGAAATTCAAATGCTCAGGAAACATTTATTTCCCCTCCTTGCTAAATCCTTTTTCTGTGGTTGTATCTTCAGACCTTTAACCCCCAAAATTAAAATAGAATTAAAATAGAATAGAGAACCTGTCGGTTGTGATGCTCAGACCACTAGAGGGGTGAATTGGGTGATGGAGGCACAAAAATCAGGAGTAAAACTCAGCAGTTAAATCAAATTAAAGAAAGATCCCAAGTGATGACAGAGGGTTTTGGTTAAAACCCTGTGGGGAGTTAGGACAAAACTGAGGACCCTCCTGCTTCCCTGATTGTCCTAAAATAGTTCTGCCAAACTGCAACCTTCAGTAAAAAATCCGAATTATTCAGGGTGTCTGGACCATTATTGAGAGTAATTACCATTACAGATAAAAATATTCTATATTATTCATATAATAAATAAATAGACTAAATGTAGAATAAATTGAATAAATATATTCTATATCATTGGTGTTCTATCAGAATATTCCTGCCTCATAACCTTAGCAGAAAGTCTGTGTGTACCTGAGCAATGACCACCATGAACTTTAAACCTTTCTGGAGGTTATCATTGAAGGTATTTGTTTAAAAACAACCTCCCAGGGTGGTTTTGGAAGTCAGGCACTGCAGATGGAGCCCAGAAGGTCTGGGCATGAGCAGCCACGTGCACTCCAATTATTACAAACCCACTGAATTTCCTTGTTCCAATTCTGTTGCTATTTTGGAGATTCCCTGAATTTCCCCACACTCCAAAGAACACTTTTCCTCCCCTTTGCCCATAAGGAACTGGTGTTTGTTTGGAAACAAAAGAATTCCTTGTGAAGTGTTGGAAACCTGGTTGCTGAGAATTTGAGACTTTCTGTGCTAGCAGGCACTGACCCCCAAAATCCACTACATTCAACCTAAAGCTGTAGAGAAAGCTTTCAAATTAAATAATAAAACCAAAATTATAAGTGCATAGTTTAAATAGAAGTGTGTAATATCACATGGTAAAAAACATAGAGTTTAAAGTTTTAAAATATAATAATATATATTAAAAAATAAAGATATTAAAAAAAATAAAAGCCCTTCTTCTTCACCTCCTTCTTAATGAGTTTAAATAATATTATGTAAATAATATTATGCAAATAAAAAGATATATGCAAATAATATTACATTAACAAAAATGTCCACATTACAAACCACAAATAATTAATTATTAAATTAAAAAGAAAAATAATTTAAATATAATTTCTTAATGAAACAATTTATCCTTAAAAGACCTTACAAAAAAATACAGCTCAGTTTTTTAGTTTATGAATAAAGTACTATAAAACTCACAATTTATAAAACTACAATATAAATAAAAATGAATAAACATCTAAATCTAAACAAAAAAATGCAGTCTCACACATTTAACCCCAACACTAAAAAAAAATAAAAATAAAACTCAACATCAGTGGTGGTAAAACCAGAAATTTGGAGATCTAATCATGCTAAGTTGGCCAAATTTCACAGGGAGTCCTGAGAGGAAGGTGAAATAAATCCTGAGGGCAGGGATGGAGTGGGAAAGGAGAATGGCTGATGCCTTGTGCAGGCTGCCCTAGAGCATTCTGCTTCTGCCTAAAGCTGAAACCAACCAGGGAAGGGCAATGTTCTGGCAGGTTTGGGATCTTCAGGAATAAATCAGCAGCAAAATGTGCTTTGTGCTTTCAGAATATGAAATCGAGAGATCCTTTTTCCTGAGGATGAAGTGTGTCCTAGCCAAGAGGAATGCAGGCCTGACCTGCAGTGGCTACAAGGTAATGTTTATAAATAATGTTTATAAATTACTCCTCCACCCCTGAAATGTTTGACAATTTACAAGTTTATTTATCTAGGTGTTTGTTTTGGGTTTTATTTTTACCTATTTTTACTTTATGCTGAGAGCAATGTTTATGATGAGAAGAATCAGAAAAGATCCCCAAAATGCCCTCAGTAATTAAAATTTAAACTTGGTGGCACACTCACTCCCCTTGGTCCCTGGGAATTCTCTGGAGGCCAGCCCTGGAGCTGCCAGGAGAGCACAGTTTGGTTTTATTCCCCCAGGGAGCAGGAGGCAGGTGAGGCAGGAACCCAGACACAGGAATTTGGACATTTTCCACATCCCACCCAGCTGCACAAAGCACCTCCTTGGCCTCAACACTAAAAAAACTCAACCACTGCCATCACCTCAGGGTGGAATTGTACTAAACCACCAAGTCTGTTTATAAATCTTACAGTTTGTATGATGTTTTTTATTTCTGACATGAAATCAGAAGCCACAGCAAACATTGAAGTCATAGAATAACAGCTGTCATTTGAGTAGTTTTTATTTTCATATATGCAGGCAGATTTTATTTTCAGATTTGCAGTACTTTTTCTTTTCATCATTACAGACAGTTTTTATTTTAACTACGGCAGATTTGCAGTAGTTTTGATATTCAGACTTGTAGGTAGTTTTTATTTTCAGCCTTACGGACAGTTTTTATTTGCAAATGTGAAGGCAGCTTTTATTTTCAGATTTGAAGTAGTTTTTGTTTTCAGATTTTCAGTAGTTTTTATTTTCAGATTTACAGTACTTTTTATTTTCATCTTTACAGACAGTTTTAATTTTCAGATTTCCAGTAGTTTTGATTTTCAGTCTTGCAGATAGTCTTGATTTTCAGCTGTACAGACAGTTTTTATTTCCAGATATGCAGACAGATTTTATTTTCAGATGTGCAGTAGTTTTTATTGTCAGCTTTACAAGCAGTTTTTATTTTCAGCTGTGCATTTGCTGCTCTTTGAGCTGCAGGTTCACTCTGCTCCATCAGGGAGGGTCGTTGCCATTCATTCTGCTGGGAATTAATTTTGGGTCGTTCAAAACCCAAAAAGCAAAGCCTGGAAGAGGAGCAGAGCTCTCTGCAGGAATGTGCTCAAGGTGCAGATGTGGATCTGTCTGTTTGCACTCTTCCCTACCTGGCTGCACTGATAATTCCTCATTACACTGAGCCCTGTTTGCTCAGCTGCTCCCCACAAAAATGGTTCTGTCCCAAAGCTGAATCTGAAATCAGGTAAAAGAGTAGAGCTTCAATCGTGGGATCTCCACGTGGCTTTGGGGGGTTTTGGGTTTTTAAATTCCCAGTTATCACTGTTAATCAGAGGCATCACTTTCTTTGGCTCACTATTAAAAGTTTGCACAGTGAAAATCAAAGGATTGTCTCGTCTGGAGGGATGTTGGCCTAAATTTATTCCATTTGACTGTGCTTAAAGTCAGGACTTAATTTTTAAGAAATCACCTCATTAGCCACAGAAAAAACTCACAGACCAAGTGATGGGGGAGTTGAGATCTGCTGGGAGATCTTCTGATTGTGCTTTTGCTGAACGTTTAAATCACTGGAGAAGAGGAAGGTTAAGCAGGAGGAGCCAGTTTCCAGGTGGTGTTTGGTAGTTGTTTAGAGCACGAAATACACTGAAAATTAATTCCTTTCCACAGGACACGGTCAAAAGCCAAACAAACAGAGAAATCCAGCAAAGGGATGTGATATTTCTGCTGCTTGGACCAGAAAGTTGGCAGGGGCACTGATGATTTCTGAACACCAGCACCACACTAAATAAATCTTCTGGCCTGGAATAGTCCCCAGGTTACATTTCCCCCTCCCCTTTAGCTGACACTGAATTTTTACAGTCTAACACTGTCATTATCACCTCTGTGAACAGCAATTGTACACAGGGATCCCGAAATCTGAGCTCAGGACCTTGGGCTTGGTCACATGTCAAAAAAAACCCCACCCCTCTGAACTTGAGCAGAGAACTTAAAACTCATTTCTTGTGCATTTGCATAAACATCAGTTAACTTTTATTGCTGTTGTGATGCATCAATACCCACTGGGTCTTTAAAGTGCAGTTTTTGATGTGCCTTTATTTACATCGGAATAATAACTCGTTAAAATGTAAATGTTTTTATTCATCTTTGAGTGTGTGTAGAGAGATGACATTTAAAATAAGCAACTTCCAGGGCTTTTTTTAAAATCAATGAACAGGAATTCTGGATGTATCTACAAAAAAATCTGTATCAAGGAGCTTAAAGTATTAATTAGAAAGCAATTAGGCAGTCCCCAGAGAGGAGGTGCTTCAATACTGGATTAATCATGCTGCCAGTAAACATAAAACTGCATTTATTAAGTATTAATCTCTATTTACAAATTGACTGAAATCAACAGACAACCCAGAATTTAATTTTATGGGGGAGCCTGTCTGTTGGAACCCTGAATACTGAGAGGTTTGGGCTTTCTGTGCTGCCTGGCACTGACCCCCAGAACACTGCACTGAGGCCCTGGAGAAGCTTCCAAAATGGAATGACAGAACTGGGATTGTGGGTGTGCAGTTTGGATAGAAGTGTGTGATATCACAGGGTGGGAAACTCAGAGTTTAAGGGTTTAGAATACAGTAATAGAAATAAAGCAGGATGGAGGGTTTAGGGTGGAGGCTGCTCCTTCTTCTTCACCTTCTTCTCCACGGCTTTGGGTGGTTTTGTGTCATTGGATAAAACGTCCCCATTGCGGACACTGGTGGTTGGGTATTGGGTTAAAAGTAAAAATAATTTTGGTGTCATCTCTTAATTGGATAGTTTCTCCTTAAAAGACCTTGTAGAGATAGATACAGGGCCATTTTGTAGCTTTTTTACTGAAATGCTGTAGAACTCATGGCTTGTAAGACTGCAACAGAGATAAGAAATAATAAACATCCGGGTCTGGACACGAAATACCATCGCAAGCGCTTTCAATCCCGACCCTGACCCAGGAAGAAAAGAAGATAAAAAAGCAATATGTGTCTTTATAAGCTCATTGAGACTGGGTGGGCAGCAGATCTGGGCCTTTTCCATCAGATCCTGAGGGTGTTTCCCCCTTTTTCCAGGTGATCCACTGCAGTGGCTACTTGAAGATCCGCCAGTACATGCTGGATATGTCCCTGTACGACTCCTGTTACCAAATCGTGGGGCTGGTGGCCGTGGGGCAATCTTTGCCTCCCAGTGCAATCACTGAGATCAAGCTCCACAGCAACATGTTTATGTTCAGAGCCAGCTTGGATTTAAAACTGATTTTCCTCGATTCCAGGTAAGCAGCTCTTTCATCTCCAGCACTGAGCGTTCATGTGTTTACGTGCTGCGGCTTCCAAACGGGTCAAAACATCCATGAAAAAAAATCCAGCAGTCCAAACTAGATCTGGAACTCAGAGCCTTCAAAGCCTTTCAGGCAGCTGGATAGACCAAACTTTGTCTGGAATGCCAAGAAATAAGAGCCTGTCCAATTTAACCTGGAGTTACCTGCACTTTTACGGTCAGCTAGAAGTTTCTTGCTGGGAGGATTGGTCACAGGAACAGTGATACTTTTTTTTACCTGAAAGGACACAAATTTTATCATACAAAGCTAGCAAAAGGAATGAGGATGTACCAAAAAAACCCCAAAAAACCAACCCCAAAAGTGGAATATGAGATCAAACAACTGGCTGGCATCATCCAGAAAGCTTTTGAGAGAGCAGTAAGAAAAGAGAGTTCTGTCTTTCGGTGTAATGCTTTAACCATGAAACCAACAGTAATAATGGAGTTGTTAGAATGGGAATTGATTCCATTGCTACCACACACAAAACCAGGACCTTCTTAAACAAGATATTGGGGGAAACAGCTGAGGAAGGAGAGCCCTGCCTCCAGTTCAGCTGATGGAGCTCAGATGAGCACAGAACCAGAACTGAAATTCATTTCTCTGGTTTTGGAGTAGGTACCTTGTGGGACACAATACTTTGTCCAGTGCAGTCCAGGACACCTTGAAAGGAAAATCTCAAATACACAAAATACTGACAAGATGATCATTCTTCAAAAATCCTTTCCTGTGGGTCCCACATTCCCCATTTCCCTGGTGGACTGGATTTACAGGGAATACATTCTTGCAGTGAATGTATGAGAAAACCTCTGTACCCAAGAGAGTGGAGGTCAACCATGCAAGAAGAGGCTTTTCTGCCTGCTCAGCCCAGGAGACAGTGGCTCCATCAGCTGCTGGGACACAAAGAACTCCTTGTTTCTGGAACCCTTCCTCATTTTTTGGCACGCGTCGCTTCGTGCCGTGGCTACAAAGGAGCACGAGGGGTTCAGCAACACGTCCTTGCATGTGGGGGAAAGGAAATGATGTGCCTGGGAGGAACTGCCTGGAGACAGAAGTGTCTTCAAAGGCCACAGAACAAGCAGAGGTGTTGACAGGAGCAGGGATAGACCCAGAGCTGTTGCAGAGCTGTGTTTACCAAGGAGCAGATGGGTGTCATCCACACACGGGACAAGCAGGGGAATTGAGCTTCACCAAAGCCTTTTGCTCTCCCAGCTGAGCAAACCAAAGTGTATTTGCTGAAAACAGGGGCATATTAGGAGTTAGAAAAAACTGGTTTCAGGTTTGGTTCTAGTTTCCATACAAGGGGATGGATCTTGAGACTTAACAGGCACAGCAGACAGCATGAAATCCATGGGAAGGAGCAGCTCAAAATCCTTTTTTGAACACCTGACACAATATAAACCACACTGGAGTTCATCCACTGAAGTCACTAGAAGGAGAAGACAGTCACTTCCCTCCAAAGTGAGCTGCTCACTCTGATTTTTATGGTGCATTCACTGCCAAGGAGTTTAAAAAGACTTTGAAGAACTCAGGAGACCAGAACTGATCAGTGGGGTGAGCTCTGTGTGTCCTGTCACCTGCACAGCACAACCTGGAGAGCCCAGGCTGCTTGAGGGATTGATTTGATGTTAAGGAAGTAAACCAGCTGAGTTTATTTCCAGATTCAACCTTTTCCAAAATTTGGGTGTCCTGGGATACTGTCAGTGATGGTTTTGTATCACCAGCTTCAAAGTGAGACTGCACCTTTGGGAAAATGAACCCCTGGCTCATGTTCGGATGAGCTGTGTCTCTACTCACCAAAGGGGCAGGATGGAGCTGCCACCCTGCTTTTAAGTGCACTGAAGTCAGAAGGAGAATTGAAACCTGAGCAGGGTCTTCCACCATTATTTCGTGCTCCTGATTGGCTTCAGTGAGTATTTGGGATGAGCACACACTGCAGAGGAGGAACACAAGCATCTATTCAAAGGCATTTTGATGTTGTTGTCCTTCAGAAGAACCCAAGCCCTCAACCCTCTCAAGCAGAACATCCTCACTCTCTGTGGGGTCCACTGGGCTGGTTAGAGTCAGGGTATGACTACAGAAGATGCACAATAGTCATAAAATTTTAAAAAAACTAATAAAATGTGCATTATCCTCAGTCTTACAATGACAGGAATTGCTTGGGATGCCCTGCTCATTTCTGTGGATGCTCCTGTGTTGTCTCTGTGCTGTGCATCCTCACCAGTGTAAAGTTCAGACCAGGAACATCCTTTGGAAGTCCATGTCCTGACCATCCCTGCTCAGTTCATGGCATGAAGAGGCTTGGGGAATTTAAAGTGAATTCCTTCAATCTAAACTGGAGGACAACGTCCAAGAGCACCCTAGGACACTCCAGCTTTAATAAATATTTCAGTCCACAGGTCTAGTCTAGAGCTAGTGCCAGGTAAAACTCCTGCAATTAAAATGTGCAGATGCCTCTGCTTTTGTTGCAGGAGAAGATCTTCAGCAGAGACAATTTCACTGTCACCTGCTAAGGGACTGTGTCACTTGTTAATGTGGACATCCCTTACTGTTCTGCCTTTTTTAGGCAAAGAAAGCCTGGGACATCACAACCCCCCCCCCCAACCCTGGGCATAAAAGCCACAGTTTGGCTGAGGGGCACGTTGTACTTTAAGGCCTATTTTTTTCCTCAACTAAATTTAAAAAAAGTCCATTTGAAACATGAAGTTTGACTCCTCATGTCTGACCCAGTGTAAGTCTGACCTCTGAATTTGGTCCTTTAACATCTGCAGAGATGCTGCTGTTTTGAATTCGTTCCATTCTTCTACTTCTGGGATTTTTTCTTTGGAAGTCTTGCCTCAGCTTTCCTTTCCTCACCCTGTGGTCTTCACACCTCCTTGTCTTTCCACATTCTCAGCTGGAATAAGCTCCTGCTTTTTTCTCCTGTTAGGCACCAGCCTGGATTTATTCACAAGCCCTGATCACATGTGGCCTAACACACCTTCTACACTCGTAGCTTTGCAAAAGCAAATGAAAATGTGTCAGCAGCCCACAAGAGAGGTTTTATTGTTTCATGAGCAGCTCCTCGAGCGGAACGTTGTCCAAAGGATCCTGCATGGCAGTGGCAAAAGCCCATGGTGGAAATCAGTAAAAGAGCTCTTTTTCCTGCCCGGGTGTACCAGGGAAAAGCTGCACCTTGCTTTGGCTGGGCTGAAAGGGTTTCTTTTCTTGTAAAGGTGAGGTTTCTGTTTCAAAAACTAACATTTCATCCCACAGCTTTCAGGCACTGATTTGTTGGCACAATCAAATGTTGGGTCAATGAAATGGAATATTCCTCGAGATTTTGTTTATTGCAGATTTTTCCTTTTCCAGGGTCACGGAATTAACTGGATATGAACCCCAGGATCTGATAGAGAAAACCCTCTACCACCACGTCCATGGCTGTGACGTTTTCCACCTGCGATACGCTCACCACCTGTGTAAGTACCTGGGCTGGAGGCACAGGAGGGACCTGGAGCTGCTGCAGAGAGCCCAGAGGAGGCTCCAGGATGAGCGAGGGATGGAACAGCTCTGCTGGCAGGAAAGGCTGGCACAGCTGGGATTGTTCAGCTGCACAGGAGAAGCTTTGGGCTGAGCTCAGGGTGGCCTTGCAGGGCCTGAAGGAGCCCCAGGAAACCTGGAGAGAGACAATTTCCAGGGGATGCAGGGACAGCACACAGGGAATGGCTCCCAGTGACAGAGGGCAGGGCTGGATGGGATCTTGGGAATGAGGAATTGTTCCCTGGCAGGGGGGGCAGGGGCTGGGATGGAATTCCCAGAGCAGCTGTGGCTGCCCCTGGATCCCTGGCAGTGCCCAAGGCCAGGGTGGACACTGGGGCTGGAGCAGCCTGGCACAGTGGAAGGTGTCCCTGCCATGGCAGGGGTGGCACTGGATGGGATTTAAGGTCCCTTCCAACCTAAACCATTCTGGAATTCTATGGAATATGTTGAGTACAGTGAGAAGTTTTGCAGACAACAAGCAGCATACTGGAAAGCAGAAAAAAATCCTTTCCAAATCTTGACTGGAGACAGATTTTCAAAAATTCTTGGCTATCACTTAAGGAAACCATTAATTGTGTAAATACAGCTCGATATGCTGGGCTTCCGAAAAGAAAAAACCAACACCCAAACCAACTTATTTGGCCAGTTTTTAGGGGATCCAGGCTATTTTGAATATTTGGAATTGATTCTGGTTGGTGATCTCTTGAAGGAAAAGTCTGGCCAGTTTTTGTACTTAGGGGATCCAGGCTATTTTGAATATTTGGAACTGATTCTCGATGGTGATCTCTTGAAGGAAAAGTAAACCAAAAGAGCAAGTAAATGAGAGGGGAAAATCTGAACTTCACTAGCCTCTGCTGTTAAAACAAAAACTATGCAGCAGCTCTGCATTCCTCTGAAATATGTTAGTAATAATCATCCTGTGTTTGAAGGGAATGCAATCCCAAAAACTCCTTGGAGGGACATTCATTAGTAGCATGTGGATGAGGTTCGGAGAATGGATTGTCAGGAAAAAAATGACATTTAATAATTTCCCGTCTTCCAACAGAGTCACTAATCATATCTTCAAACATCTGGATCTGGGAAGGAGTTCATTCAGTAGCACATTAATTTGAAAAGCAAATTGAGGGAATGGCTGAACTCTGGATTTGGCTCCGTTTGCTGCAACCCATACGAGGCAAAGATGACATCCAAAAACCAATGTCAGGGAATTTTTTTTCCAGATTGCTCCTGTAGGCTGGAAGCAGCCAGAGTCAAATCCCTCTTTTAGGCTTCCTTCTTCTCTTAATGTGTGCTACTGATGAGGATCTGGAATACCAAGGAGGTTGTAGCTGTGTTTGGCAAGTCCAAGCTGAAATTGCAAGTGCTGAATTCTGCCGGTGGCAGGGTGTGCTACACCTGGGAAAGCAAAAGCTGATCTTTACAGCGAGTTCAGATTTACCAAAACATTATTGAACACTCTGGGCTGAGAACTGGTAAAAAGAATGACCAGGGCACATGGAAAATCCTGTCAGGGGCACCCTCTCTGTGGTGGTGACATCTGCATGTGGATGTGACTGTTGACCTGTTCAGAATAAACTCAGTATTTCCACCAGACTCTTTGAAATACCTTCATCAGCCAGCACGGAGATGATGCCACCACAGCCACAATCACCTCTGGAAAACAGTTTTCCACTTTAGAGTAGCAGGATGGATAATTCTGTGGCTGCCAGTTTGATCCATGTACAACTGGAGTTTTAAATGAAGAGACAAATCATGTTCACTGAATTACCCACCACATCCTTCCACAAGGAAAAAAAAAAATCCCTCAGCCGAATAGGATACTAAGAGCAGTTCTGTAGATTAAAGATAAATTACTGTAAACTTTAAAAACAGAAGAAAAATGCGAGCCATGCATAGGAATTTATGAACGCAGATAAATCCCAAGAAGCACAAAATAATGAGTAATGCTTGGGCAGCAGTGGGAACAGTGCAGGGTCATGGTTGGAATACCAAGTAATGGGAATTATTAAACCAGATGTAAAGTGCACAAAGTCCCTCTGGGGAGCAGTGTGAGAGCTCCCCCAGCATCCATCAGCAAATGTCTCAGGAACATGAGCAGTGGAAGGTTGGCAGGTTTGTTGTACCATTCTATAAAGCAATCTGATGATGAAGTGTCACCTGATGCAGAAATCCAAAGAGAAACATCTTACACCTAATAAGGGTATTAAGGGGAAAAAAAAAAATATAAGCAACCCTAAACTAGGATAACCATTTGCTTTTTTTAAGAGGAAAAAAAAAATCCCAAACTGAAGCCCTGAAGCAGCTGAACTCAGAGTGAGGCAGCACAGGGAATAAAACAAAGGAAACAGTGAGGGGAACAAGTTAGGAGGGATAGAACAAGAACATCAAGCTAGGAGGGAAATGTAGATGTGAATATTTGCCTAAGGTGTGCTGGCAGCAAAGAGAGTTTCCTGCTTGAAACATTTCATTGGCTTCCAGCTCCAGGAAAACACTTGTGGTGTTTGAAGCTGTGTTATTTATTTCCAGAGCCCCTTTCATACACACAGTGTTTGCCCTGAAATGTGGCCACACAAATAAGGAGGCCCTGCTGGAGGATCCTGCACTCTAAAACACAGGACAGAGTTCCAGTACAGACAAAATATCTTTGTGCCCTCAGAGAAATCCCTTCATTTGTAGCATTTTAAGGGAGATTTTGGGCATCCCTGCTCTTCCCACAGGAACTTGAACAGGATTGAGGTCTCTGTGCCCAGCCCAGCTGGTATCCCCACCAATCCTGCTCCCTGGAAGTCACCCTAAGTATTTGTAGGGTTATTCCACAGAAAAGCTCAGCTCCACCATCTCTGGTGTTGGGTCTGCCTCTGCTTTGCCAGCACTCAAACCTCCTGGCAGAGCAGCACCAGATTTTGAGAGGTCTAACAAAAAAAAGGGTCTGCTGAGCACTGTGCCTTGCCCAGGGGCCGTGCCCATGACATGCCAGGGCAGCTAAACCAGGATCTGCTGCCAGTGTGGAACCAAGAAATCCATTTCTTGCAGTGGTATCCTTCAGTGCAGGCTGGGAACTCCCAGCCACACGCCTGGGAGCCTGGTGGAACCTTTTAAAATAGTCCTGTCTGAGAGCCCAGAGCCTTTCCCAGCTTCCCTGCAAGACCAGGAGCGAGCCAGAGCCCTGGAACACCCAGTCACAGAGGGCACATCCAGAGGAGAAAGCCACGGGATCCTCCTCCTTGGGCTGCAGCAGAGGCCACCAAGAAGTCTGAGCCTGCACAGATTGTCTGGGTGGTGGATTTGCCTCACTCCCATTCCTGAGGTTTCCTTTTCAGCATCAAACAGGGCAGCTGAGCACAGAGCCAGATGGAAGCTGAGCTCACTCACTGTCTCAGTTACTGTCCCTCAGCCAAGGTCAGACTTTCCCCAGATTGCTAAAAAATCAGGAGACACAGAATCCTCCCCCATCCCCAGAGAAATACTGGTTAATCCGTATAATTAGGAAGGAAAGCTGAACACTGTAGCCCTCAGTGGTTTTCACATCTTTTCAAACACTGTCTTTAATGCAGAGCTAAAAGAGGGATTTAAAAAAAAAAAATCAGTGAGAGAGGAGAAAAGCCAAAACTAGTCCCAAAGCACACGGAAGAACTTTGTTATAGTTAGTGATCCATGACAGCATTAATTTCTCTTCAGGAAGACTGAGTGTAGCAAAGCATTTGGAACTCAAGGAAAACGTGCTCATTAAACCAGCACAAAGACCTAGTTCTGAAAAGCCCAGACCACATTCCAAAAATTACCTGTTACATGGCCTGTGCTGAAATGTAAAGATTATTTCCTGGAACAGGACCATTTGGATTTTAGAATGAATCACCAAATCATAAAAGTACAGAATAGTTTGGGTTGGAAGGGAGCTTAAAGATCATCTCATTCCAACCCCCTGCCATGGCAGGGACATCATCCATTGTCCCAGTGTGCTCCAAGCTCTGTCCAACCTGGTCTTGGGCACTTACAGGGATGGGGCAGCACAGCTATAGAGCACCATCCACAATTATAGAACTATAAGAAATAGTAAAACTGTGGCATAGAGATAATCATTAATATTTTTAGAACAGAATCTTTGAGTAGCCACTCTATGACTTTCAACTTGCAGTGATAAATTGCACTTAAAAATACAAATGTCTTTATATTTTCTCTGTGTGTTTACATACTTACACACACACTCCTCATGATTTTTTTAATCATACACACCCTCCTCCTATAAAGAAATCCATGTAAAAATGTAGCAGTGGAAGGAACACCAGCAAGAATGAGGCAGAAATACCTAAGAGAGATTTGAGATGCCAGATAGTGGTGGCTTGATGACCACCATGGAGGGTGTGTTTTTGAATGTCCTGCAGGATCATGGAATGATGGAATATCCTGAGTGGGAATAAACCCACAGGGATCATCCAGTGGAACCCCTGGCCCTGCCCAGACCTCCACCAATCCCACCCTGGGCATCCCTGGCCAAAGGCTCCTGGAGCTCTGGCAGCCTCGGGGCTGTGCCCATTCCCCGGGGAGCCTGGGCAGTGCCAGCACCCTCTGGGGGAAGAACCTTTCCCTAAAATCCAACCGAAATCCCTTCTGGCCAGCTCCAGCCCTTCCCTGCATGCTGTCCCTGTCCCAGGGAGCAGAGAACAGAGATGCAGACAGTTTTAGGTGTTTTCATTTTATTGCCTTCTGAACACATGGGCACCTCATCCTAAAATGGAAGAACTGACACTTCCAGAAAGACCTGTCAATTTTGTAAGAGCCTGATTTTCTTTGGGAGGTAAACTGGATTTGAAGGAAAGTTTAAATATGTTGAGACGTGCAATGGATAGGAAAAGAAGCAGCCCAGAGGGATGGCCCATGTGCTCTAGACTGTGGGAGACCTCACTGAGTCTTCCAGTACCCCAAGGAAATGGATGAAAATGAAGGAGAGGGATTTTTTATATGGGAAAAATTCACAGAATTCACAGAATCACAGAATCACTGGGTTGGAAGAGACCTTCAAGACCATGGAGTCCAACCCAGCCCCAAGAGCTCAACCAAACCCTGGCCCCCAGTGCCACATCCAGGCTTTGTTAAACACACCCAGGGATGGTGACTGCACCACCTCCCCGGGCAGCCATTCCAGAACTTTATCACTCTTTCCATGAAAAGCTTTTTCCTGATATCCAACCTGTATTTCCCTTGATGCAGGTTGAAACTCTGTCCTCTGGTTACGTCAGTGACAGAAAAAAAGTGACAGGACAAGGGGAATGGTTTTAAAATTATGAAGAGCAGGTTTAGATTCCATTTCTTAACCATATTTATAGAAAGGAATTTCTGCCATTGCCCACTTTTTTTCAACATAATTTGTGCAGCGAGCTCAGTCCATGATTACCTAATTTACAATAAATAACTGTATAGGAGAGTAAGAAGATGGAGTTTCCAGAGGAATGATCCAAGGCCACACAAGAGAAGAACCAGCTTCAAAGGCTGGGCATTATCTTCTAGTGAATCCTGAGATAAAGGCCTGGCACTGAACCAGAAATATTTGTGGTTGGATTAAATATTTGGAGATGCTGCACAACTCCTGTTACAGCACAGCCTCCTGCCAAAATATCCTTGTTCACAGAGGATCCAGAATAGCTCAGGGAGGATTACATGCCCAGTGAATTTATCAGATATCTGATTCCCCTCTCAGTCCTTGTCTTTGTTTGGGTGCTTCACAACCAAAGATTTATTTTTTTTTTCAATTTTACCCTTTTAAATCAACCTTCATGATTACAGAGGAAAACAACCATCACAGAATAAAATACATTGCAAAATACATGATAATCTGTTAAGCTATGAAAGAAGTGCTTCCAAATAATCTGGAAAAAAATCTCAAAATCACAGAATCCTCAGGGTTGGAAGAGACCTTCAGGATCAAGCAGTCCTCACTCCAAACCCTGTCCCCTAGGACCACATCCAGACTCCTGAACACTTCCAGAGACTCCAACACCTCCCTGGGCAGCTCATCCCAAGGCCTGACCACTCTTCCAGGGAAATTTTCAGTCTCCAACCTGAACTTCCCCTGGTACCATCTGAGGCCATTTCCTCTCCTTCTTTCAAAAGAATTGGGTCCAGTTCAAAATACTTTTGCTGCCCTGAACTTTTCTTTTGCAATTAGATATTTTAAAGCAGTGTTTGTGAAGAATGCGACCATAGGTGACCCAGAGAAGAAGGAAGACAAAACTTAGGAGACTTCACATTTTATAAAAATAATAATATGGTGTTATGAATCTATAGAAAAGGGCAGCTTAGATAATTTTGCAGGGGATTATTTAAATTTTGTTGGGAGGAAGAGGATGGAGGGTGTTAGGACATAGGTTAGATTCAGAAATCTGAAAGGTTTTTTCCAACATCACTAATTCTGTGATTCCGTGAGGGAGAAAAGCGCTTGGCTTGCAAATAAACCTCTCCAGGAAGAGGTCATGACTCCAAAAAACATGAATTTTTAAAACATTTTCTTTTCCTTGTGTTCACAGTGCTGGTGAAAGGCCAAGTGACCACCAAGTATTACCGGCTGCTGTCCAAGCAGGGAGGCTGGGTGTGGGTGCAGAGCTACGCCACCATCGTGCACAACAGCCGTTCGTCACGGCCTCACTGCATAGTGAGTGTCAATTATGTCCTTACGTAAGTCCAAATACTTTGTACCATTACCTGTTATCACTAATTGAGTCATTAAGGATTAAATCTGCCAAGTTTTCTTGGCTTGTGTCTTCCAGTGTCGTTCTGTGCTCGCGTGTTGCAGCTTTCTCTGTTTGTACGATCTCATCTCTTCAGTTGAGAGAAAACCTTGCTGTATTAATTATTATCATTATTATATAGATCTTCATCTTGTCCAGGGAAGGGCAATGGAGATGGTGAAGGAGCTGGGAAGCAGCTCATGAAGGAGCTGGGGGGTTCAGTCTGGAGCAAAGGAGGCTCAGGGGGGATCTCATTGCTCTGCACAACCACCTGACAGGAGGGGCAGTGAGGGGGGGTCAGGCTCTGCTGCCGTGTCCCAAGGGAAAGGAGGAGAGGAAATGGCCTTAATTTTGTCAGGACAGGTTCAGATTGGAGATTAGAAGGGTTTTGTCTTTTGAAAGAGTGATGAGGCCTTGGGATGAGCTGCCATGGGGAGGAGGTGGAGTCACTCTCTCTGGAATTATTCAAGAGGAGTCTGGATGGGGCCCTTGGGGTGATGCTGGTGCTGTTGGGTGATGGTGGGACTGGATGAGCTTGAAGATCTCTTCCAAAGTTGAATATTCTGTGATTTTTTGATCAAAACCAATCTTGCAGCTTGTGTGGTTTAGTTACAAGCACACGCTGCTGACAGAGGAGGAACATTGCTCCTTTTCCTTTCCCCAGGGCAGAGACCAATTCCTGGCTGAGCAGGAGACAGATTAATTGATCTCTGTCTTTCCATGGTTACAAACCACAGGGAGCCAGGGATGGCTGAGGGAAGATGATACAGCTCAGGCTCAGAGAGAGGGGACACTTCATCCAAAGGTGTTTATGTGATTCCCAGTGGAATTTTTTTATAGACTTCCATGGGAATGAGGTCACCCCATAAGATTCTCTGCCTCCTGACATCCCCAGACTCTGTGAAAATCTTGGAAGAGTGAAAATTCAAGCCTTGTGAACCCTAACATGTATTTTTACAGGAGTTAGTTTGGATTTTCTCATGGTTTTAATTTACTGGGCTGTTCTTTTGCAGAGATATTGAGTACAAGGAACTTCAGTTGTCACTGGACCAGGTTACCATTTCCAAGTCACAGTTTTCATGCAGAAACTCAGTACCTACCTCGCAGGAAACAAGGAAAATAGTAAAACCCAAAAGTAATAAAATGAAGGCAAAACTCAGAACAACACCTTACCCGCCACAGGTAAATCTTCCAGCAATATTTAATTACCAGTTGTTCTCACTGAGTGCTTGGGACAGTGTAGAGAATTTACTATAAAACAGACTATAGGATTGTCCACCCCAGGAAATCCCTCATAAAGCAGGATAAAATAAGATCCTTCTTCCTTAGGGTGGAAAGTACAGGTAGCACAAACCAGCTCTGGCAAGTGATGTAAAACCTTTGGGATATGGAGTGTGTGAAGCACTTCAAACGTGACGTTCTTTCTTGGCAAAAAGAAGAAAATCCTGTACTTGGAATTGTGCTGTGAAAATCTGTGCTGGTGTAGAATGTGGGTCATTTATTGTTGGTGTGTGGAGCTCTTCATGTCAGGAGGAATTTCCCCATGGAAAGGGTGCCCAGGGAGGTTTGGAGTCCCCATCCTGGGAGGTGTCACTTGGACATGGCACTCAGTGCTCTGGGCTGGGGACAAGGTGGTCACTGGGCACAGCTTGGACTGAGTGGACTGGGAGGGCTTTTCCAACCTTAGTCCTGTGATTCTGGAAAACTGAACTGCCAAAATTATCAACTCAAAGCTGGATTTTTGTTCCCACGTGAAGACAGGGCACGAAGAGAGGAACTTCAAACGCGCTGCTCAGTCCATCCCTTGAGCCAGCGAGTCCCAGCTCTGGGTGCCTGTGTGAGATGTCCTGTACTTTCCTACAAAAGTTCCTCCTTTAACTCTCTTCCCCTGCTCTTTTCCCTCTCTTTCCCCCAGCAATACAGCTCGTTCCAAGCAGACAAACTGGAATGCAGCCAGGTGGGGAGCTGGCGCTCCAGCCCCGCTGCCAGCGCCGCCGCCCTTCAGGAACAGAACTTCCATTCAGAGAGCAGCGAGCTCCTGTACGCCCCTCCCTACAGCCTGCCCTTCTCCTACCACTATGGACACTTCCCTGTGGATTCCCACGTCTTCAGTGGCAAGAAGCAAATGCTGCCTGCAAAATTCGGGCAGGCCCAAGGGGCGCCCTGCGAGGTGGCACGGTTCTTCCTGGGCGCGCTGCAGACCAACGGCGAGTGCCAGTGGCACTATGCCAACTCCCTGGTTCCCAGCAGCCAGTCACCCTCCAAAAGCCTCCCTGAGCAGCCAGTGAACATCATCAGGCACAACCTTGCACAGAGTTATGAAGGTGGGTGTCGCTCTGAGCCAGGAGAAAAGGCTCGGCCGCGCGGTGGATGGGGAGGATTTGTGTTCGCGGTTTGAAAAACGGGTTTGATGCCTTGGATGCCTTCTGGGTCCCGCAGTTTGGGAAGGACATTGAGATGCTTGAACACATCCAGAGGGGGCAACGAGGCTGGAGAGGGGCTGGGAACACAAACCAGGCTGTGAGGAACCCCTGAGGGAGCTGGGGGTGCTCAGCCTGGAGGAAAGGAGACTCAGGGGTGCCCTCCTCACTCTGCACAGCTCCTGAAAGGTGCCTGTGCTCAGCTGGGCTGGGCTCTTTCTCCAGCAGCACTGACACAACCAGAGCACACAGCCTGCAGCTGCACCAAGGGAAACACAGGCTGGATATCAGGAAAGAGTTTTTTCCAGAAATGGTGATAAAGTTCTGGAATGGCTGCCCGGGGAAGTGGTGCAGTCACCATCCCTGGGGGTGTTTAACAAAGCCTGGATGTGGCACTGGGGGCCAGGGTTTGGTTGAGCTCTTGGGGCTGGGTTGGACTCGATGGTCTTGGATGTCTCTTCCAACCCAGTGATTCTGGGAATTCTGTGAGTGGCTCCGTAGAACAGAGGCTAGACAAGATTAAGAGAATAAGAGCAGGTATTTATTAAAGGCCTCCACAGACACTCCTTGGGCACTCACAAGCCTCCCAGAGCCCTCACCCAACCTGGACAATGGTCACCATATGAAAATAAACACCATCTATTCCCATGAAAATTGAAGCTTGTCCTTTGTCAGCACAAAGCCACTCTGAATGTCTTTACCTTACAGAGTGATAATTCTGCTTTACTTGATAATAATTCCGAATTTGAAAATGTCTCCCATCACCTGCATTATTTCACTGTGCAGATGGTCAGGGATAGAAATTCTTTGAGGAAAGGCATTGACTTTTCTAAGGTGGAAACCTACAAGAAATAACCTTGAAAAATTATAACACAACCAAATGTAAAGATGCTCAAAATACCCTCTAATCACGGAATCAGGGAATAATTAGGGTTGGAAGGGAATTCTGGGGATCATCTTGTCCAACTTGTTTTTTTCCACTGTATTCAACCAGAACAGGGTTTCTTGCAGTGGTTTTGGCAGAGATTTATCTCTCATTTTAAACACTCCTGATCTCATGGCTGCCCCAACTCCAAAATGAAACTGAATCAAGTTGTGATGGGCAAGGAACAATGTGAATCAGCTAAAGCAACAAAAATATTTGGACAAACCAGACTCTGGCAATTCAGGCTATTTTGGGATGGTGTCAAGTATCTTTAACTCAATTAATGGCATTAATTACTCCCCTGGCCCAGCTTTCCCTTCAAGTCAAACACAGCCCTGAATTTAACTGTTTTTATGAATGAACCTTGGAAGTTCTGCTGAGATTTCAGGTTGCTGCTGACTTTAGCAAGAGCAGCCTTGGTTGGACTGGATTTCCCTGCTGTTCCCTGCTTTACTTTCACTAACTGTGAGAATTATACAAAAACCTGTCACAAAAATACGCAAAAAACGAAACTAAACAAAACAAAACAAAAAACCAACCCAAAACCCCACCACATCTGAGTTTATTCAGACTTAGTAAATACAGGGGTTCTTTTGAGATTTAAGGTGTATCTGAAAGTGTCAGAGAGCATCAACAAGTGCAGAATTCAAATCAGCTGCTGCAGAACTCCCAGGAAATCCTTAATTAAACTCTTTTAAGCAGAATTCCAGTTTATCACTTTCCAATCCAGAGCCAGTCCTTGGATTCCATCCACATCTCTCTGCATTCATAATTTTCATTAATTAAAAATCACTGATGAGGACTGAGGTACTGCTGTGCAGTCAGATGGAAACCCTCATTTCTTGGAATGGAGGAGGCAGTAGTGGAAATTTAAAATAGAAAAATAAGTTAAAAATAAATTATTTAAAATAAATTTTTAAAAAATTAAAATAAATGTAAAATAAAAAAAAAATAGGTAGTCTCCAGGGTGCCATTTTAGGGAGGCTCTTGGGTATCAGAATGAAGTATTTATTCACTTATGGGTGGAGATATCCAAGATCCAAAGGGAATATTAAAATATAAATATATTAAAATATAAATATGTTCAAAGCTGAGCTTGCTGCATCAGAGAGAAGATGGAATCAGACATCAATGTGCTTCCCACAGAGGAACAAATATTTTCTGCCTGGGGTTTTGTCCTTCACAGGATGGTTTGACCTCACCCATGATGGACCTCACCTCACTGCCAGCAGCATTTTATTTCACTTTTCTGTGGTTAGGCTGAAAATGAGCAAGAGGGAAGCTCTTCTCACAGCCTAGAGCAGGTTAAATCCTTTTCCTTAGTTTGTGCTCCTCTAATTTGCTGTTTCCTTTGTTTGCTCCTGTGGACTGCGGGGGAAAAGGAGGAGTTTTAGACCAAAAATAGGAAATGTTTTTGTCCTTTCTGAAGATGCTGTGGGGAAAAAAGAAAAAAAGAAAAAAAAAGGAAAAAAAAAAAAACCCAAAACACACAAAACCAAAACAAAACAAAACAGAAAACCACAAAAAAAGACAAGCAAAAAAAACCCTCCACAAAACAAAAAAGGAAAAAAAAAAAAACCCAAAACACACAAAACCAAAACAAAACAAAACAGAAAACCACAAAAAAACCAAGCAAAAAAAACCCTCCACAAAACAAAAAAGGAAAAAAAAAAAAATCCCAAACAATCAAAAAGACCCCAAACCCCAAAAAACCCCACAAAAGTCCCCCAAAAAACCTACATATTTTGATGATAAGGATAAAGACTTAAGTAAATCCTGCCTATCCCCAGTAAACCTGCAGGAACAGGGTAAAAAAACCCAAATCCCCAAAAAAAACCTGCAAGGAACTGCTGCTCTTTTTCAATCTCATCCCACATCACATTTCCCCATGAGGAGGAAAATGGAGCTGAAATACCAGCGGTTCCTATTTCTGGTTCTACTTCCACTGAAGATTTTGCTGCTGGAGTTGGGAGATGTGGGTTCTTTTTTGAGCATTTTGATGGATATTTATTATGGATATTAATTGGGGATTTGACAAACGTTGGCTTGCTACAACTAATTCCCTGCAAAAGCATTTTGAGTCGTATGAAAAAAATAAACTTTTTTTTTTTTTTAAGGAAATACGTACATATTTCCTTTGAGTTGAGCAGAAAAATATGGTCAAACTCAGACCTGGGCAAAAGGGGGAAAAAACCTAGAGCTTCCCCTATAAACAGGATTTCCACCCAGTTTTTTCAGCCGTGTTTCCTCCTCAAGCAGACTCAGCACTGTTGCACTTTTGCTGAATTCTGAACCTTTGGAAGCGACTTTTTGGGTTTTTGGGTTTTTTGGTTTTTTTTTTTTTGCATCTGATCTCCCTTAGGTTGTCAAGTGCTGCTTTTTTTTCCAGTGGCTCACTGGAGAACTGACAGCCAGGGAGCTTCAAAGCAGGGAGGATCTGCTTAGCATCATCATCTTCGATCCAAAGGCAAAGCCAAATCTGACATCTGGCAGCCGGCTTGGATGCGAGGCCATTCCACATCACATCCACGGCAGCATCTGCCAAGAGCGCCGTGGGCCAAAGACATTTTTCTCCATGGAAAATAGCTCCTTTTGGAGAGATCAGAGATTGGAGGATGATGGTGCCAAGCCATCAAAGCTCTGAAGAAGCACGTAGCAGATACGACTGCCTGCAAATCAGATGTTTCTGCTTCTGGGATCTGGTTTTGAAGCTTCTTCCACTTTTTCCCAGCTGGCCCAGTCATCATAAAAAAAAATCATTTCAGTGAGGGCAACTGTGTTTTTAGTCAGAAGTTTCCTTTTTACCCTTGAAATTGCTGCTGTGGGTACCACAGGACCTGCTGGTCACTCAGTGGTGCTGTTGGGCCTTCTGAGCTACCTGTGTGAAGCTCTGTGCCACCAGCCATGCCAAAACTCAGGAAATGAGGAAAAAGATGGAGAAAATCTGTGAAAAAACTCCCCAGGTTTAGCCATTGCCTACTGGAAGAAATGACATTTTGCAAAGGGAATTCCCCATGAGAAAAAGGCATTTTGGAGAGAGAATAATGTTTTTGGAGAGAGAATAATGGAGAGCAATCAGCCCATGCCTTGGGTGATTTGAAATTAGGGTTCAGACCAGGACAAGCACAGACTGAGATAATCTAAAAAAAATATCTTTTCATGGGCAGGGGTTGTATTGAGACCTGTTCTATCTCTGCCTTGTTTGATAAAAAGGAGAGAGAGGGACTTTTTATAGGGACAGGAAGTGACAGGACAAGGAAAAATGGTTTTGAACTGCCACAGGGCAGGGTCAGATCAGAGATTGGGAAGAAATGCTTTGCTCACAGGGTGGTGAGACCCTGGCACTGGTGAAGCTGTGGCTGCCCCTGGATCCCTGGCAGTGCCCAAGGCCAGGCTGGACATTGGGACAGTGGAAGGGGTCCCTGCCATGGCAGGGGTGGCACTGGATGGGCTTTGAGGTCCTTCCCAACCCAACCCATTCTGGGATTCTGGGATTTACAACCTGATGGTTCATCCTTAACACAGCAGGACTGGAGATTACAAAATTAAAGGTGTCAAGGCAGAGGCCAGCTGGTGGCTGTGATGCCTCAGCTTCTTCCAAGTTCTCTTGGGCTCTAGTTCTGGAGAAGGACAATATTTTGTTCAGAGATTAAAGAAGAGCCATAAAGTGAAAATATTCCAAACTGTAGGAGGACAAATCCATCCTTCTTGTGGACATCTTAAACCCAGAACACCTGACCATTAAAACTTATTATTTATGTCAGTAGCTCTCAGCATCTACATTTGTTTCACAATAAAAACACCAAATGTGGAGTTAAAATCAGAGCACTGAAGTACACCAGTGAAATTCCCAAGTTATTCTGAAGCACGTGGCTGAATCCTGGTTGGATTTGTGATCTGAAAGGGCCATTTTTCACCAGCTGGTGAGAACTCAGCTTCCATCAGCTTCTCCTTCTTGTGACAAAATGTATACATAGAAAAGGGAAAGAATAACTTGAAAGGTTATTGTTTCTAGGAGGGTGAAGAAGAAATTGGAACCAGATTTCTGTTTAAATTCTGGTGTTAATTACGTAGTGCAACTCCCTCTGAAATTAATGGAGCTCTGCATATATATAAAAAAAAAGGTACAATTGAGCTATTTCTGCTTCCTCTGTTATCCATGAAGGCTTTGCCAGTCTATTACAGCACAGGGAATATTCATTTATTAATGGGCATGGTTACATCAGCAACCAATAGAGGGGAACTCCAAAAGGTTTAAGATGTTGAATAAAATTGTTAGAAAAACAGGAAATCCATTTCAAAAAAGGCACTTAAGTGTCCAGGGCTTCCAGTGAACCTTACACAAAACAAGAGTTTGGGTCTAACATGAGAAATTTTCTCAGTGTGTCATTTTTCCTTTAACATAAAACTTTCAAATGTGCCTTGGAGGAGCTGTTTAACTCACAAACTGTTCATAGGAGAGTGCAAAAAAAAAATATTACTCATATGGTACAGGAGAAAACCAGGGGCCTTTTCTCTCACTGTTTGTAGATAGGGGTATACAGAAAGGAAGAGCTTCCTAAGGCAAGAAGAAAATGGTAAAAATAACTCAAATTGCTTCAAGAGTTCAGTTGCCATGCAGAAACTGAGGAGAAAAAAGACTGCCTAATAAATTTTAGAGGAAAAGCCTGAATAGACATCCTAGGCTCACACTGTTGAAAAATTAAGTATCTGGCTTCTAATTCTCTAAAAATACCCAATTTTTTCTCCCTCATTCAATGTTGTAACCTGCATTTTTATCATTGTCTACCTTTAATACATGGCAATATCTTAAAAGCAGAGATCCAGCATTGCTGAAGAGGTGTTTGTGTTGCTTTTCCAGAGATGTTTTTAATATCTGATGTCAGTTTTTCAAAGAGAAAAAGCAAAACCTTTAACGTGACCCACTCCGGGTATCACAAAGAGATTTCATTAATTACATAATGACACGTCATCTTCTATTATCTTATCTAGATATTAAAGGTACCCAAAATAAATACCATGAATTAACAGAATCAACCAGAACCAACAGAATAACCAACAGAATTCTGCAGAATGAAAAGACCTTTGAGGTCACTGAGTCCAGCCTCTGAGCTGGATGTTCTGGTTGCAAGGACAAGTGTCCAATGCACTCCCACAATGACAGGAAGAATAAATTCAGTTTATTTCTGGTTATTATTCCATGATTAAAACAATTCCACTATTTTAATCATGGAATCACTGATAGGTAGCAGCGTTATCTGGCTTTTAGATAAACCTCTGAGAAGAGCTTCCTTCAGGGGAAAGTTTTTGGATTCAGGTTGTAGTTCCTAACATTTCTTTGGCTTAATTCCCCTGATTGAGCTATGATAAGCTCGGATAAGTTCGTGCCAGTGAGTTATAATTACTGCAAAGGCTCGTTGTCAGTAATTAACATGTTTTCCTTCCCCTGCCAGTGCCACTGTCCAACAGGAGGTACAACCAGGACGCTCTGCCGGAGGCCTTCCCAAGCTGCACGGCGCCCGTGCCGGGCCGCTACAAAGAGGAGCTCTACGACTCTTCCATCATGAAACACAACAAAACAGAGCCCAGGCTCCAGCCCCCCGCCCACCTCATCAAAGAGGAAAACAAGCTGGCTTTCACCAGAGACCTGCCAGAAAAAATGGCCATCAACGAGGGCTCCTTCTCCAACTCCCTGCTGCCCAAATCCGAGTGCTGCCAGGCCAAAGCCGTGGGACAGCTGAGCCACCTGCTGCCCGTGCCCTCGGTCTACGAGCAGAGCAGGAGGATTTGTGTCAAAGACCCCAAATTTGGGCACATCAGCCACCACCCAGGCAGCCTGGAGGAGCTGGACGAGAGGATGAGCGTGAAGCTCGACCACGAGGCCGATGGCGAGCGGCTGATGGATGTGAGGCCCTCAGGCCAAGTCCCCTTCGTGCTCCTCAACTACCACCACGTGCTGGCCAAGCACGGAGCTTTCCAAACTTCCCCCTGCACGGCCACGGGACACGTGGGAGAGAATTATTCCTACAACTCTGAGGAAGTCAACACGTTTATTTACAAAAACCAAAGCCCCTCCTCGGCTTCTTCTCCAGAAACCCACAAGGAATCTGCACTACCCCATTATATTGGGACTTCTGTCATCATTGCCAACGGCAGGTGACGGTAGCACAGGAGGGTTCTGTGTTTCATTAAGAAACCAAACTGTAATGATTTGCTAAAAAAAAAAAAAAAAAAAAAAAAAAAAAAAAGAAAAAAAAAGCATGAGGAAACACAGTGACATTTACTGAGCAAAGCTGGAGGGCAGTGAGGGACAAACTGGTGAGTTCCACCAGTCCCAGTGGCCAGGAAAATCCCCTCCATCCCCTGCCGTGCTTTGGTGTCCCAGATAAAGCTCTGGTGCCAGGGAGAAGCCAAGTTCCAGATCTTATTTTTGTTATTTTATAGTGTGCAGCAGAAGGAAACGAGAGGTGTTATATGCAGAGGATTATATGAAGAACATTTTTTTTTTTTTCTTGACCCCCTCCTTAAAATAAACTCAAGATTTTTTTTTTAATCATTATCATAAAATATGCATTCTAGTTTAGGTTTTTTTTTGACAAATTGTGTGAAACCTCGCATCAACTCTCCACTCAACCCCCTGACAAATGGACTTTGTTGAGAGAGTGGTGATTTTGAGCAACCACAACACAGCTGTCCTACCCAAACAGAAAAAAGCTTATTTATTAATTACCAAAAAGTTTTAAAACTAAATAAATCAACCCTACATTTGATTTATTTAACACAGATTTCAGTGTTCTGAGATTGTTGCCACCACCATTTATCTTGACAAGGGACAATATGACAAATTAATAGGTACAAAGATAGGTATTACAGGGTTACAGGTCTTGTCATGGCAAATTGGGACAAATTATGGAGCAGGAACTAATTCCCCACAAATAAGAAAAGGAAACTCCTAAATCCTGTGTTTCCCTGAGTATTCTGGGGGAAGCCTGTGCAGATTTTCAACCCAGCCAGTCACAAATACATCTTAATAACAGCACCAGAAATGTTTTCTTTATAGTCAAGAGAATAATGAACATTTCTGCCTTATTTTGAACTTACCAGCAGAACTGTGAGCTTTGAAAATTCCAGTTCTTAACATGATGAACTTCCTCCAGCATAAATCCTGTTGTCAGCACAAAGGTAGGGCTGGAATTCCCTGGTTGGAGCACTTCACAAATCCCAAACAGCACATTTGAAACTCTCACATTTGGCCCAGCCAGCCAGGAATAGATTTTTCACCCCTTTATTTTTAATTCTTTGCAGAGGATGGATCTGTGGGAGTTTAACTGACAACACTCAGCCCACGGTGGTTTTCAACCATCTCCCCAAACATTGTGAGTGGATAAAACAACAAAAGGCTCCCTAAACAATAAATGTGGCTCTAGAGCTCACTCAGCTCCGTTCCTTACCCCAATTCAAGCTCAATTCAGAATTTTTCAAACTTTCTCTCATCAGACTCTAAAGAGAACTTCACTGAAAAACCTTAAGCACACTGGCATGGTGGAAGGTTCCCTCGAGGAGCTTTACGATTCCTTCCAACCCAAACCATTCCATAATTCTTTGAAGAAAATTCTTACCTGGTTTGTATAATATGGAAAAAACACTTGCTCATGGATTGGACCTTGTCAGAAAAATCATAATTAAACACTCAGTCCTTAAAATTCCATGTTCTCCATCTTTTCTATGCAGCAATAATTCATGCCAGAATGGTCTGGGTTGGGAGGGACCTTAAAGCTCATTCAGCAGTTCCAAACCCCTGAAATGGGCAGGGAATTTTCCATTAGAATACAGAAATAAAGTTATTTCCTTCTGTGTATGAATACTTATTTCTATGAGTACACAAAAATACTTTAAAAGCAAAGGCTTAAAACAATTTTCAGTATTTTTTATCAGTGCTTCCTGTTAAAGGTTAACAGAGAAGCCTTTATTATTATTATCAAATTAATATTCACTTGAAAAATGAACTTGAACTGAACACTCTCAGTTGCTGCTTTCAACTGCATGAAAAATATATTTTGTGCTAAACAGAACAAAAAAAGCCAAATCAGTGACTACAAAAAAAAACCCCAAAACAGAACCAAACCAGCACAGTCGCTCCCTGTAACCTCAGTTTGTTCAGTGCTGGAGAAGCTGGCAAGTCTCCAGAAAAGCTGTAAATGTGGATTATAATCATGCTGACCCCATAAATCAAAGGCAGGAGACACCAGTTGCTTTCCCACTTGGTTCAGAGCCCTCCCAGCCCCTGCTCCTCATAAACGACCCCAACTCCTCAAAAGATAATTATGGGTTCATTTTGTTCAATTAAATTAAACCCGTGCCCCACAAAGGAGCCACTGGCATGGTTGGCATCATTAAAAAGAAACCTGATGCCCAACCTCTCCTGCTGCACTTTCTCCCTCATTAGTGGCACTGCTGCATTTGGGTGTTCCTGCAAGTCCTGCTTGCTATAAAAACACCAAAATTGGGCTTTGCTTGAGAAAAACACCAATGATATTTTTCAGCTCGATATTTTTCCACCTTGTTATTCCCACTTCCAGGCTTTATTCCAGCAGCCTGAGCAGAGGAGGTGTTCCATCATTCTCCCCCAGGTGTTTTAGGGGAGGTGGTGCCCAGGCACAGGAAATTTCCCTGCGAGGCAATAATGAACCAATTAAGAACTCACAGCTGATAATGCAGGGGAAGGTGCAGAAAAGATGGCAAAAGCAAATGTGGAAAGGATTTTTTTTCCTGTCACTCTCCAAGATTTAAACAGCAATTCCATGTTCCCATCTGGGAGTAAATTACATTGGGAGAAAAATAGGATTTTTTGGTCAGTTAAATTACAGATGTTCTCAGCAAAATCACAGTGCAGAACAGGGCACTGCCATCACAGTGAGCAGTGTTTTAATAATGAAAACTGTTTTTAAAAATGAAAATAAAAAGATGGTACTGGAGGGGAATGTGAATTGAAATATATTATGAAAAATAATCTCATTTCTCTTTAGTATTTGAGCCACACCTTTGTAGTGAGACTTCACAAGACTTTAACTCTTGGGGGAGTACAGACCTGACAAGAAAATAATGGAAAATGAGCGAAAGAGAGTGAAAGAGGGAATATTTTACCAAAATCTTAGAAAATTTGGGTTGGGAGGGACTTGCAAGATCTCATTCCACCCCCCTGCCAGTCAGGGAATCATCCACCAGACCCAGTAAAGCTGGAAAAGTGAATTCCATAGCGAGGGGTCTCCAAGTTTCGGAAGCAGTGCAATGGAAATAAAACAAGGTGATAAAGGCACAGATAAGTCCCCAGCTCTCTGTGCCCTGGGATTTGAAAAACGTAATTTAAGGAAATTCAGCACAACAGGTGCAAAATTGGGGAATTCATCACTGAAAGTGCCAATGAATGGGAAATCTGCCAGAATTTCTCCAGAAATCTCAAGACAGGACATAAATTCTTTTTTTTTTTTTTCCAGCATTTCAGTCACACTTCAAAAACGCCACAGAGGAAATATTGTTATTCCAGTTTTTTCCTGAAGGTTAGATTTTGCTTTTTTTTTTTTTAATATGATGCAGATAAAAGCTATTTGGCAAGTGTAGGTGAAGCACGCAACCCAACCAACCTATTCAAGCTCAGAATTATATATGTATTCCCTAAAAATGTAAAGCATTTTTGCTTATTTATTATGTAAAACACAACTGTTAAAATGTTAATAAAATCCTGTAGCCAAAGGAAAACTGAGTTGAATTTCTCTTTTTTTTTACAACAAAGTATTTCACAAAGGGCAACGGTGCATATAGAAAATTTATTTCATGTGTGACATGTTCTATATTGACAATTAATGTACTATAAAACACACACAGTTTTAAAAAATTATTGTATTATTGCCACGTTGCATTTTAAATGAAGACACTTGGAAAATGCAAATAACACAGAATCACTAATGAGATACTCAACACTTGACAATTCTTCCCTGCAGTTCTTTTTTATCCATCATTTTTTGACCTCTGCCCTTTGCTGGGCCCAGATTTAATTTCTTTGGTGTCTGATCAAGGCAGTGCATCCCCACCACCACTTAGCCATGCAAATGTCTTTATCAAACCAGTTACCCCCAGGAACCAGCACAAATCTTTCCCATGACAGATGTTTTGATTGTAGAGATCTCCAAAGAGTTGCAAAAAGTAATTTTTTTTTCAGGCTGCTGATGCAGCTGAATCAGAGAAAGCAAAGAAACGAATTTTTGCACAGTGAAGCAGCAGCATAAAGAATTAAATGCTTTAATATTATTTCCAGGTAATAGCCCTTGATTCGTTGGATATATTAAAAAATAAAATAAAAAAAAGCTCTGAAGTCTTATAAAAGCTTTACTAGAAGCAGGATGTGCTGCCTGGACTCTGAAATGTGAAGTACATTATTACTTTTTCAAACCTTTGGAAGCAGCTTTGTTGCTGACTGGGCACGACCCACCCTGGACTCGCACACGTGCCAACACACCCAGAAGTTTTCCTATCAATAAACAACCCCCACAAATGTTTTCACCATGAGAAATGTTCTACCAGAGCCCAGCAGGAAAAAAATAAAATCAAAAAAAAGAAGTCCCAGTAATAGGGACATGGTAATAAATGGGTTTTTTGAAAGCACTTCATCAAGAAAATAGTTTAAGATATGACCTCAGCCTCACAATGGAAGAGGTGTTTTACTAATCCAGACAGCTGAACGAAATGAAACATTTTCAGAGCTTTATTCCTGGGGCTGGAGCTGGCTGGATCTCTCCAGCCCCACATCCAGGGACACCCCACACCACATTTGTCTGTCACACACGGAGAACAAGAAAAACAAGGATTTTCCTGCAAAAATGTTGTGGCTTTCTGGGCGTGCCACGTTGGGCAGAGGAAGAGTCAGACTCCACCTGACAGAGACTCAGGGACTTCTCCAAGGACTCCATCCAGCTGCTCCTTGTCCCATGGGAATTCTTTTTGTCTTTGGTTCTTCCCCAGGGAAAGCAACAAATCCTTCATCCAAATCCAGGAGACACCAGAAGAGGCCACTGAAAAGGCAAAGTGGCTCCCACAGCACTCCCAGTGCTCTGGCACATCCAGGGTTGGGCAGCTCTCCCCTGTGGCAAGGAAATTCCACTCCAAGTTTCTTCCCAATGCAGAAATTTTGGGAATAACCTGACAATTCCCAGCGAGAACAGAATCAGCTCATCACTAAGGCAGCTACAAAAGGACCAATAGCAACCAGGAAATGTTGCAGCATTTAAAAAATGCTGAAAAATTCCTCTGCTGCTGCTCAGCCACTAAAACTCATTCTGCCCTTCCAAAATTCCCATGTTTTATCCTTTTCCCCATATTTTTTTTTTTTCCCCAGTGAAGGGAGAAGGAAGTTTTAAGGAAGTTTTAAGGAAGCCACTCAAGCCCCAGCCTGAGGCACGACCTGGTTGTTCAATCCCTCCAGGCACTTCCCAGTCTGTGTGGAACATGAACAAAACCCTAAAGGTGCTTCCTGCAGGCAAATCCTAAAGCTGAGACAGTTTTACCTACGAATTCTGGCTTGAGGTGAAGTTTTGTAAAACTCTGTGGTTGGAAAAGCAGCACCAGAGCTCTGCAGTTTGCTCATGAAGGAAAAGGCAGAAAATAAATAAGGATGCAGCAGGAAGATGTGAGTGTGCATGTGCACACCCACTTTTTATAGATCTATATATAAATATATGTTTTTTTTCTTTTTATTGAAGCTTTTTAAAGCCAGACTCGAGTCTCAGTTGATTAAAACATGCATTAATATTGAATTCTGATATCAAAGACAGCTGCCAAACCTTCTCAGCCCGAAGCAGTTTTGAAAGCATCTGGTGGGAAAAAGCTAAACTTGGTGCATCATTATAATTATGGCAATTAACAGCAGTGTGTGTGCAGTTCTAGGAGATGATGGTGTGCAGCCTCATGTGATCTGGATCATGGGGGAAAAAAACCCAGCAGGGTTTGGACAATCAGGACAAATCTTCTGTGAGATGGAGCATAAAATCCTAAATTTAACAGGGACAATTTAATTTCTACTCTTGCTGCCAAACCACCTAAACCCTAATATGTGAGGATTGGTCAAAATTACCATTAGAGACAAGTTTCCTTGTTTTAAGACTTCTTGGCTTTGGAGCTGAAACAATCTAAAATGTTTGGATTGTTTATGAAGTGAACTTTAACCTAAAAACCCCATTTCTGGCTAGAAGACAGTAGTTTCCTTTCTGCAAACCAATGTGGCTGATCCACCATGAAAAAAAAGAAATTAAGGTGGCCACATTCCACCTGGGACAAGCCTGGCTGGCACAGAATTGTCTGGGGAGCTGTGGTGACCAAGTCTCCTTGGGAGAAAACCCCACCAAGCTCCCACGTGGCTGCTCCAGGAGAATTCCCAGGTTGCTCCCCCCACCTGGAAATGCGCAGGCAGCCCCAAAAATGAGCTGCTTTCAGGTCAGCAGGTGTTAAAGCTCTTGCTTTTAGTGCTTAGCAGCAAAACCAGACACTGGCTTGGGAAAGAGGGTGACAAAAGGGCTATGGAAGAGAATTTGGACATGGGGGAATGGTGTAATTTCTCTTTCTCACTGCAGTAGTTGCTTGCAGCAGGGAATTTGATTTATTCCCTTGATTTATTCACTTAACTTCATTGAGATAATGATAAAATTACTACTAAATTTTAAATTAATTACAGGTTCCATACCCTGAGATGGGGTTCTACAGTAACTTGGGTGTGACACTGCTCCAGTGGGTTTTTTTTCCTGAAACCTCTTGGAAAACCATGATTTAAAGGACAGATGAGATGATTTATTCAGATCCAACTGACTGAGAAGAGCAGAGTGCAAATCACTTGGATAACCCAGCACAGCTCCTAAGTGCTGATGGAATACTCTCCCAAAAACTCAAGGCAGCCATTAAGAGTTGCAGACCTGAGATCAAAGCACAGGTTGGTAAATTACTGTAGAGGTCTATACAGAGAAGAACCAAATCAGGATCTTCACTCAGACCTGGAATTAAGCACAGTGGTGATCCCAACAATTCAGGAATATGTGATGTTCCAGCTGGTTTTAGTACAGACAACACAGAAAACCAGAATACACAGAAACAACAACAAAAAAAAAGGAAATGTTGAGCCACTTCAGTCTCTCCAATACAGGGCATAAATGAAGAGAAAGTTCTGTTCACCACAAATATTCCTTTGCAATCAGACCCTTTGCAAAGAACAGATCCTTACAAAGAATGGCAACAGAGGCGTGTTTTAAAGTTAATGAAAAGAATAAAGGCCTTCAGCTGTGAGATCACCACCTCTTTTCAGCTGCTGACGTTACCCACGGCAAACACAAAGCAGAAAATCAGAAGGAAAAATCAAACTTTCAGTTATCCTTCCCACCTTGAGGTTGAGGTGACAGTGCCCAGTACTCAAGAGTTCCTGTCAGTGCTTGGGGACGATGAGGTTCCTCAGCATGTCAAAGGAGTTGCCATCAGGGTGCACAGACTCCACGCCCTTGCCCTCCTGGTGCACCTGCAGGTATCCATAGTCATCCACCCCAACAATCCAGGCCAGCGCGCCGTCCTCGCTGCGGAGCCGCACCTGCTTCCCACTGAGAATTGGGACAGAAAACAGAGAATTCTGTCAGAACTGCCCTGGGCTGGAAATGCAGGATGTGCCTGGGGCTGTGTGTTCAGTTTCCACCTGTCAGAGCTGGGGCAGTTCTCTGCTGTTCATGGGGCAGTTTTTTCTTTATCTCTCCCACAGCCAATCCTCCCTCCAGGAGATCTCTGCTCTCCATGGCCAGGGAGTGTCCCTGCAGGGCTGATCAAATTCCATCATCCCATGGGGAGATGCTCCGCCCAGGGCAGGAGCCAAGCATTCCTACCTGGATACAATCTGAGCCTGGAGCAGCACAGCAGCCTTTGCCCACTGCATTCCCAGAGGAGCAGCTTTGTCCTGCCCTGCATTCCCAGAGGAAGAGCAGGCCCATCTCCAGCAGCCCTGGAGCTGCAGAGGAAAACTTGCAGAGGAAAACAGCCTTGTGCAGGATCCCTGCTCCAGCAGAACCACAGCTGGCACTGCAGGAGGGCTGAGCCCCCATGGGATGGGACTGTGCCACCACCCTGACACACAGGGGGACAGGGAATGTTCTCACTCTGGCAGTGGTGTTTTGTATTGCTGCATTTTAATTTTACTTTTAATTTTTCCCTAATAAAGAACAGTTATTCCTACTGCCATATCTCTACCTGAGAGCCCCTTAATTTCAAAATCATAATAATTCAGAGGGAGGAGGTTTACATTTTCCATTCCAAGGGAGGCTCCTACCTTCCTTAGCAGACACTTGGCTTTTCAAACCAAGACAGCAACCCATGGACACTGAGTAATTAAAAATAATGCCTCAAGAATTCAGCTTTTCTATTTTTTTCCAATCCTGTACTGCATTAGTGCATAACTCTAAACTCCTTATAAAGTCTTAGTAATTGTCTTCACATTTTGCTCAGACAAAACAATCCCTCTGGGCCTGACACCCAAGGATACCCTACAGCCTCAGGCCCTGAAAATATAAAAAAAAGTGAATTGGGAGGAAGCAAACTGGGGGTTAATGACTTCATTATCTGAAGCTGTAATTGGAGAATTAACCCCTGATATGTAAATGGACCAAAGTGATAATTGTGTGAAACACTGGTGACCATTGTCCAGGTTGGGTGAGGCCTCTGGGAGGCTTCTGAGTGCCCAAGGTGTGTCTGTGGAGGCCTTTAATAAATACCTGCTCTTATTCTCTTAATCCTGTCTAGCCTCTGCTCTAGGGAGGCACTCCAAGGCACCAAAATCACCTCAGAGGACTCATCAGAATCATTAGAAGAATCATGGAATGGTTTGGGTTGGAAAGGACCTTAAAGATCATCCTACTCCAACCCTGACACTTTCCACTGTCCCAGGCTGCTCCAAGCCCTGTCCAACCTGGCCTTGGGCACTCCAAGGATGGGGCAGCCAGGGTTTTTCTGTGCCAGGGCCTCAGCACCCTCACAGGGAAGGCTTCACCTTCTAACAGATTATTTCATTTCCCACCTCAATGGCTCTTTACACAGATTGACTTTCAGCAGCATTTTCTACCTGCTTGAATTTCCTTTTGTGGAATGAACAGAGTTGGAGTTAATCCAAACAATCTATTGTTTTTTCCTCCTAAAAGTACAGTAGCTTCATCCATCTCAAACCAAATCATTCCAAATTCCCTTTGTTTGGAGATGTAAAATACCTGAAAGCATTCTTTAACTCATGCTAATCACTGATTTATTATGTGCTACTTTAATTCTCCCTTAAAAATGTGCATCCTGCTTGGGAGTGTATTTTAAATTATTCGCTCATATTAAAGGGAATTTTGTGGAAAAAACCAAAATACCCATGAGTTCTTCCACCAATTTTATTAAAAGAAAGTTTGAGGATTCTTACCTGTGTACCCAATACTTGTAGTACTGGGGAAGAACTCCATTGGGCCCCTTCTCCTGGAAAACATCAATGAGCCTCTCCAGCACAGTCACAGTCCTTGCAATGAGACAGTCTGCACTCAGAGGCTTCAGCTCTGTCCCCTCTTCCCTGTTCAACTTTGCAATGAGGTCATTGATGCAGATGGTGGGGTTGCTGTTACTCACATTAAATCCAAAGCCTGCAGAAAACAAAGAGAAGGACACAATCAGAGAGACAAACTCTTTGTTGCCACCACAGCCCGCACTTAATTCATCTGCTCCCTACAATTATCCCTCAGGATGGCTCCCAGAGCTGGCTTTGTTCAGTCTCTTACACTTTTCAATCTTCTTTCTCCTGTAATTAAAACTCTCAGCTCAGATTTTGCTCCTTATCCCCAAAAAGGCTCCTCAGAGTTAGGGAGGCAAATCCAGCACAGCCTTTCAACCACACTTCATCCCACCAGTGAGGGCTGGGAGAGGATAAACTGCACCTTGGTTCCAAAACCATCCATGTGAGACATTCCTGTATGCCCTGGAAGGTCCTCAGCCCACTCAGAGAACAACTGATCCTACCCTGAGATGGAGTTTTATCTCCCAGTCTAAAATTCAGCTCAGAGACCTTTCTGTTTCCTGCAGTGAGCTGAGTGCCCTTTCCAAAAACCCAGACTTTTCACTCAGCTGATAAGCCTTGTTTGGCTTGCTCAGGAAAGCCCAGAAGATTTGATTTTAACTTTGTAAGACTCCAGTTTGCCTAATCTATCTCACCACAGCATATCCTTTAGAAGCCTCAAGCCTCTCACTGAGATTTCTCCAGCTGGAATTCCCAAATTCTGAGTTGGCAGAATGCCTCCCTTGTTAAATATGGCTCCTGGGGCCTTTTCTGCAGCCTGCTGAAACAGGCTTCGAGGGATGTAAAGAAGTATATTGTATTACCTGTTTATTTTTTTCTCCTAATAATTTGGGGTTTTTTTCTTCCCTCAGATATTTGGGATAAAACGCCCTGTCTGTCAATCAGGTTTGGGCACGATGCAGCTCCATCTGCAAGGAGGTGCAGATGTCTTGATTTGTAAATTTGCTGTTAATAATTCAAAAAATTTATATTAACTTTGAGAAGGATCCCTTCAGTGAAAAGGAGTTTTTGATTTTTAACAAGTCAGGGAATGCAGACAAACGAGGCACAATGATCCCAACACACCAGTCCTGTGGAAATGAGCTGAAATGGGTTACTGGAAAGAGATAAAGGAAAATGAACTGGAAAATGCAATGAGCTGGGCCAGCAAATCCCAACTCAGCCATCTGCACTCCAGTGTGAGGGAACAGAGACACCGTGGCCACTGAGGGGGTCAAGGGCCTTGGGGTCCATCAGCAGCCTCAGGATCACTGCTCAGCCATCCAAAAAGTGGGACACAACAGCCACCCCGGGATGAGGAGCTCAGCTGAAGCCCCAACACCTGGGAACGAACACGGCAAAGGGGGAAAGGCAGCCAGGAAATCTAAAAACCACGAGGTGCTCAGGGCTCTGGGGACACCTCTGCAGTGTCCACGAGAGAAGAGAGCATTCAGCAGTGCCCCTGCCGTGCTGATGTGGCTGATGGATGTTGCAGTGGTGGATCCATGAGGATCTGGACGTGCCTGAGCAGAGGCAGAGGAGCATTCGCCGGTCACGCTCGCTGGCTGTCCCCTGCATTCCACTGGTGCTTGGCTCCTCCGCCTGCTCCCAGTCTGGCCCTCACATTAATGGTGAATATTCTTCTCAGAACTCCTCCTCCAGAAGTCCCAACACCGTAAAGTTCTTCAATTTTATATTTCAGATTGGAAAAAACAGGGGTTTTGGTTGGGGTTTTTTTCCCCCAAACTGTGTTTAGAAGTGAAGAATGTCACCTGCAAGGGTTGAGCAGTGAAAATGCAGGTTTGTCTTTGATCTTATTCTCCTGAGCTCCTCCTTGGAGCTCAGAGATGATCTTTGATTTCCATCATTATCCTCATTTACGGGAGATTCTTGGGAATGCCATGGAAAGAGTGAGTTCAGTGCCTGGACGTGGCACTGAGTGCTCTGGGCTGGGGACAAGGTGGGCACAGCTGGGACTCCATGGGCTGGGAGGGCTTTCCCAACCTCAGGGATCCTGGGATTCTGTCTGGGAAAGGATCCTTTGGAAAAGGGGTGATGGATCTGACACACCTTTCCTGCTGGGGAAGCTGAATCTCATCACTCCTACTAATACAAAACTTAAATGTCATGAGGCCCCTCTAGAACTCCCAGGGAAACACAGCACTGGAGTGATGGAAAAGATCCTTGGATTTGTATGGAGCAAAGAGGTTTCAATTTTCAAAGCTCCCAGGTGAAAACAGACTGATGTAAATAGGCATTTATCTATACCTCAGACCTACCAGATGGATATCAGAGAGAATGGATACAGGAAGTCTCCATTTGAATTGGAATATTTTGATGTTTAGGGTAAGAATGGAAAGGTCCAAACCAAATATGTGAAGTGCTTAAGAGATACTTGATGTAAGGAACTATTTTTGGATGTATTCCTGCTTTCCTTATGTTAACCAGACTGTAGGAAAACGTGGAAGTTGTAAATGGTTGAAGGGGCACAGAGAGATTTCTTAGGTTTCTGTGCAATCTCCATTCTGTTCGAGTCGCTTATTTACAAAATGAAGGTATAAAATTGAATGGAAAATGTCATGTCTGGGCATGTTTCACAGAAAGAGGTGACATCTTCAACTCTTTTCTTGCACCTCTAAAATCACAGAAACAATACCATGACCACTCCATTTTTGGAGGATACTTTACTTGTGCTACATTCGAATAGCAAATATCATTTTTTTCTTTACCCTTTTAGACTTGCTAAGGAATTTCTTTCCATTTTCTACACACAGCAGAGACAATTACTTTTGGGACCAGAATCTGGAAAGTTTCTGAGCAGATCTGGGATGCTTAGGGGAAAACCTTCCTTATCACAGAGCAGGATGATTACCAGACTAAAGACGATAAAAATATCTCAATAATTAAAAAATGAAAAAAATTACTCTGTGTATGTAGCTCTTCTTTTGATTTAAAAGGCATGTTCTTCATTTAACAATTTTTCATGTTACAAAAAAATCCATAAATTGGGAAAAAAGGATTGAGTTTTCAGTATATTCCACTGGTTTTGCAATAAATCAAGGAGGACAATTTCCCTCTCCCATGTAATGCTCTTCCTTTGAACTCTACTACACCAATCCAGATGCTTGCATTTATGTTTTACTTGTCAAGCATATGGAATTATTAAGAAGAATGAAAACATTTACTTTTTGTGCTTCCTCTGGATTTCATGTTGTGCTTTATTTCCTTATGCCTGCTGTCATTATTTGTTCTCATCGTTGCCATTTTTACTGATATAGACACTGATAACAAAATCCTCCAGAAAAAAACCAAAAAAAGCAGCACACAAAAGCTTCAAAATAAGACATTTACCAACGAGAATATGAAATGTTGTTTCAATGAGTGTTGAGTTTACCAGAACTCCACCAATCTTCATCAGATCACTGTAGTAAATATCATTTGGCCACTTAACTCGCAGCTCAATGTCCTGAAGAAACAAAACCAGACATTTAGAGACATTCATGGCTCATTCATCACTCCACAGTCTGTAGAGAATCATGGAATGGTTTGGGTTGGGAGGGACCTTAAAGCCCATCCAGTGCCACCCCTGCCATGGCAGGGACACCTTCCACTGTGCCAGGCTGCTCCAAGCCCCAGTGTCCAGCCTGGCCTTGGGCACTGCCAGGGATCCAGGGGCAGCCACAGCTGCTCTGGGCACCCTGCCCATCTTCCCAGAGAGGAAATTGTTCCTAATATCTGATCTAAACTTGTAATTTTTCAGTTTGAAGCATCCCCTGTGTCCTGTCCCTGCATGCCCTGGAAATTGTCTCTCTCCAGGTTTCCTGGGGCTCCTTCAGGCCCTGCAAGGCCACCCTGAGCTCAGCCCAAAGCTTCTCCTGTGCAGCTGAACAATCCCAGCTGTGCCAGCCTTTCCTGCCAGCAGAGCTGCTCCATCCCTCTGCTCATCCTGGAGCCTCCTCTGGGCTCTCTGCAGCAGCTCCAGCTCCTCCCTGTGCTGGGACAGGGCTGGGGCAGCTCTCAGGTGGGCTCTCACCTGAGCAGGGCAGAGGAGGAGAATTTTCTCTACCTCTTTGCTACACCCAAAGTGCTGCTGTCAGCTGCTGCTCATAATGAGAATCTCTTGAAGTGCTTCAAAAATGCTACAGAAAATGTAACCCTGCCTGGGGATCCTTGCAGGAACTGATGCCTCAGGTTTGAGCTTTTCTATTTTTCACATTCTGTGCTGCTTTAGTGTGTGGGGCTGGACTTCACATTATGGGATGGTAAGCTCTGTGCACAGAGCAGGGAGACAAAACAATTCCTGCTCCAGCTGGGCACCAAGGACAAATGATCCAAATCTCAGCCCAGGAGCACAAACCCCGTGGGCTGGAGAGAGAAAAACAAGCAGGATGGGAGGGCAGGGGCTGAGCTGGAATTGGACACTGAACTGCAATGTGCACATGGAGCAGAGCTGATCCCAGGGAGAGACCCCGTGAGCGCTCGTGCATTTTGGGACCATTTGGGTTCATCTTGGGTGCAGCCCTGGCTGGGCTCTTGTGCTGCCCAAGGTGGATCCATGGAGGCCTTTTCATAAATCCCTGCTTTATTCTTTAACTCCATCTAGTCTCTGTTCTAGCTCAGCCTTCTCAAGGCATCAGTAGCAGCAAAAGAGACAGTGACATCCTGAATTTCAGAAAGGAAATTCAGCAGACAGGAGAAATCCCAGTTCCCAACCCCATAAATAGTTCAGAAATATCCCAAAGCTGTCCCTGCTCTCGGCAGCGCCGCGGGGCTGGAAACACAAACTGAGCTGTGACAAGGTCCCAGCCCCACAGAGCAGCTTTTGTTGAAACCATAGGGCTGAGCTGAACTTTGCACTGGCTACTTAAACACAAAAAGAAATCAAATGTGCTTCCTGCAGTTTTAAACACTGCCCACGACTGCTGCATCCCCTGGGGCAAATTATGGGAGGTGCTCCAGGCCTACAAGAGTCGCATTCCCTCCTATTGTAGGGGATGAAATCCCTTTACAGGATGTGTGAAAGCTGCACCTGGGTCCGTGTCTACTTTCCTGACAGATTTAAAGGCCAGGGAGGAGTCCATGACACATCCACTGACAGGAAATACTACCTGATTTTACTATCAAAGCATTCTGAGGGAAAGTATCACCAGCTCCTATTCGTTATGGGAAAGAACTTGGCTCCTTGCACTGGGGGAAGGTTTTCAGGGGACTCTGGAGACATGGGAGGTATGACACAGTGAAATGGTGCTCGCAGTGATGAAAGGGCTGCCAAAGGGAGAAACACACACCTGCAAGACACCAGACAGTAGCTCTGTGACTGAAGTGACAACAAGCAGCAAGAACAATTGAGGCAGCTGGGTGTTCTCATGACTTTGCCTCAGAGTGGGTTCACCAGGTACCACACAAAACATCACAAAATACGCTGGAAATGGAGCGTGTTCTTGTCTTCACTCACTGCTGATCTCAGAATGGGAGAGCAAAGCATCCTCTTGACTTAAAGCCCATTTGCATCCTCAGCATTAACATCTGACAAGGGAACTTCCAACTGAGCCCTCAGATCTGCTCTGGGAGGACCCACAACAAAGACCTCAGCTGCTGCTGGTTCAGCAGAGTCAGTAATTGTGGCATCCTAAAAACAATGACTGGATGATAAACTGAGACATGGACATTTTGGAACCAGCCCAGAAGAGGCTCCAGGATGAGCAGAGGGATGGAGCAGCTCTGCTGGCAGGAAAGGCTGGCACAGCTGGGATTGTTCAGCTGCACAGGAGAAGCTTTGGGCTGAGCTCAGGGTGGCCTTGCAGGGCCTGAAGGAGCCCCAGGAGACCTGGAGAGAGACAATTTCCAGAGCATGCAGGGACAGCACACAGGGAATGGCTTCCAACTGAAAAATTACAAGTTTAGGTGGGATGTTGGGGAAAAAAAATCCTCCCCTGAGCGGGTGGGGAGGCCCTGGAATAGAATTCCCAGAGCAGCTGTGGCTGCCCCTGGATCCCTGGCAGTGCCCAAGGCCAGGTTGGGCACTGGGGCTTGGAGCAGCCTGGCACAGTGGAAGGTGTCCCTGCCATGGCAGGCGTGGGATGATCTTTCAGATCCCTTCAAAACCCAAGCCATTCCATAATTCCATCACTCTGTAGATCATCCCATTGTTTGGGGCTGCTGCAGCTGGCATGACATGGACATAAGGAAAAGCCTTGCAAGACTTGAGTCCAAAGGGGAAATTCAAGCACTGAGTTTTTGATAATTTTTAAAAATTTCTTGCTGTAACATATTTGATTCTAAACCTTTAACTCTTTTTTGCCCCCCTGCCAAGGGCTGATGTCCCCTCAGGTTCAGGAGATCTGCCCTGGTCACAGAAAGCTCTTTACTGTCCAAATGCTCAGTACAGTACACACATTGTTGATCCACATTTTTTACATCAATATTTGGACCTTCAGTCACCTTTTTCCTCTTGAATGGAATAAAATTAAAAAATGCCACAGTACATCAGGGCAGGCACACAGGAGCAAAACCACCTCCATTCATAAATCAGCTCCTTCCCCAGTCATCTCCATATTTTATAAAACTAACTCTTGTCCCTTCGTTTTTAAGTGGTCAAATTATCCACTCCAGCCAAATATTTTATATTGCAAATTTTAGCCTGAAGCATTTTGTTTTTCCAGTCAGGTTATGAAGCACTGAATTTAGAAGGTTTTAATAGAAAGGCTGACAGACCCTAAACTCCAGCAAAGCTACTGGGTGCAACTATAATAAAGTTCATGTGTAAATGTGTATAAGTCATTGATTTTCTGTAATATAGGAAACATATGCTTTAGTTAACTACTTCTGTAAAATACCAAAGTTTTATAGTTAGCAAATATTAGGAAATGGTAACATTAAAAAGGAGATATATGAGGTGATAAAGAAGACTGGTTCTTCATTTTAATACTGATGACAGGACACTTGATTCCCTCTCGAGAGCAATTCTCCTCAGTTCTTGCTTTAGAAATCAGTTTTCAACCTTAAACAAGGGTTGGAAAAATCCTTTAAAAGGGGTAAAGTGACCACTGAAACAGCACCAACAAAAAAGCAGAATAGGATTTGTCAGTTTTATTCATTTTCCCCTCCTCCTTATTCTCTTCAAAATCAAAACAAATCAGCTCATTGTTGGACAAACAAAATTGACTTTTTCTTTACTGCTGAGGATTGAGGCTTCAGTTTCATAAGATTAAGAGTGAAATGAGTGTAGTGCATTTGAGCAGCTCAGTAAAAGAATATTCATCCTCTGGATATTGGATTTCTCCAAACATACCAATAATCAAGGTTAAGTTTAGGTTCTTCTTAGTGCTGAAGAACTGAATTATGCATTCAGCCATTACACACAAAAAGACACAGCTAAAATCTGAATTTAATGTAAATGGAACCAGGGGTTTTGAGATGAGTTAGAAGGACATACCTCATATCCTGGTATGGATCTGACTGCCTCTACCACTGCCAAGGACACCAGGTGCTGGATAAAAGGAATTCTCTGGCCCAGGTTGGAATGCAGAGGGATGGAGAGGTGCAGAGTGGACAGGGCACAGCCCATGGGACTGAGCCAAACGTTTCCACCACGACCTGGGCAGGGAGAGGAAAAAGAGGAACTTCAACTCAAGAAAAGAACATTTCTAAAAAGATCACTTTGTGAATGTAGATAACAACTAAAGAGAAAGATTCAAAGGTATCCATCCAAAAATGGACCAACAGTTCCTTTAATTGGAGTTTCCGAACTGATTTTCAAAGAAAAAGGTGCAAAGCTTCTACTTCAAAAAAAAAAAGAAAAAGAAAAAAGATTTTTTTTTTCTTTAAAAAAACCTGGAATATTCCCATCCCTGTAAGTGTTCAAGGCCAGGCTGGATGGGGCTCTGAGGACCTGGTTTTGTGGAAGGTGTGGCAGGAGGTGGAACAAGATGATCTTTAAGGTCCCTTCCAACTCAGGCCATTCTGTAATTCTGTTCTGAGGTTCTGAAGTACAAGCTGCTACTCCATTTCCCAGCATGTGCTAAATCCCCTGCTTCCAGGATTTTCCTGGTCTCTGCTAACAGACACACTTCAGAAGATCTTGCTTTGTTCAAGTGGAGAAGCATTTCTGACAGTGCCCTGTGTGCACCCAGAAATGTACCCAAGCCCTGAACCACCCTGCACTGAAAGCAGGGAATCATCTTCTCATGGATTTGAGCTCGGAAAAGCTTCTTGGGCCACACACTCTGCTCTTCCAGCAAAATAAATGTGGCTTTTAAAGAAGTGCCAGCATTTTTCTGGGCAGGAAACACGACTTGCTTACATTTATCTGCTCAGGCAGGTCCTTCAGACTCAATCTCAGAGCAAGTCAAGCCCCAGTCCTGTTCCAGTTCACCCAGTTTCAGTTTTCATCTGGAGCTCTGACTTGTGTTACACTGAGTGTAGTGATGGCAGCTTTTGTGACTGGCAAAACTTTTTTGGCAGGCACCAGGAGACCACTAAATCATTTCTGCAAAAGCCACCAAACATCCTGAAAATGTTTACTTTGGTCTCTTATTAACTTTTGGGTTTTCAGTTTGAATCCACAGTTTGAGCGGGAGGAAAAAAGGACAGGCTTATTCAATGGATTATATTTTCAAAAATGCTCATAATGCAGCTTAAAATGTTCTATTTTGTGTATTTAATACACATTTATGAGTAAAATAAGGAGATTTACTCACCTTTCCCTTGTGTTTGTCGAACAGCCACTGCTATTAAACCCATCTCCTCAGGCAACTCGAACATTAACCTGCCAATTAGGGAAAAAACCAAAAACCCCACATGCTTATCAGCTGCAACACTAAGCTACATTCATGAAAATCAAGGCTTAAATATCAGGTAATATTTTATGTTCACGTTGCACCACCGTTTTTTCAGTTAACATTTAGTCCTGACCCAAACCCATTAGAATATTAAAAAATGATTGGCTGAAAAACGATAATGTAAAATATTATTTTACCTGTTAGGCTGAAATAAGTCAGAGCTATAGTTCATTTGAGTTCTGATAACACAGGTTTTGTATTTCTTCACTTCTTCCTCAAGTGCTCGTTTTTTTGGTGTCCCTATCTTCAGCAAGTGACAACCAGCAATTCTAAACATTTGTTTCTACTTACAGCAAATTTTTGTTCATACTACAAAATATAAGAGCAGCAGTTTCTGATTATTTAGAAAACCAATATGGTGGCAATAAAGCAGTTTAAAAGATACACTATCCCCTGAGAACTAATTATGATTTAACTACAGTAAATAAATCTACACCTTCTGAGAGCTCTAGAGAACACTGGCTTATTTTAGGCTTGTGTTCTGCTTTTAAAATAGTTTCACTTAAAAGAATACTAACTTTCCTCTGGGGATAAGTAGAAAGTGCACTTTAACACCACCAAATGAGTCAATGCTACACTTAAAATAAAAAAAAAAGAAAAAAGAAAGAAAATAAGAAAAAACCCTACTGTGAGAACTTTGTTCAAGCCACTTTTAAACAGATCTGAGCTGTACCATGATCCTCCTCCATTTCACGTTTTCAGGAAGAGTTATTTCAGAGATAAAACATATTCAAGATGTTGCCTCTGAGGTAAGCCCAAAAAGGGATGGCTAGCCCACAAATCTGCTTCTCCCACAGGCACAAACATGATGTTGTTCATTCCTATAAAAGCAATCTTGTCTCAGGGGTAAGGGCAGCCCAAATCAGAGAAAAAAGTTCCATTCACAATGATTTCCTGTGAGAAATGGATTTGTAAAGAATTCCTAAAGTTTGATAGAAAGTTTATGTAGCGTTGTATATTTGTATGTATATACTGAGATAAGGTGTAAATAAGATTTAAAATATGGTTTTGTAAAATGATTAGATATTTTAGAGAATTAGAAACTGGAAAGATGAATTGTAGTAAGGCTATGTAAGGAAAAAAATATAGATAATTGGTGTTAGAATAATAGTAGTATTGTGTGGTAAAATTATTAAGCTGAAAAACATGTATAAAGTAATTAAGAAACAGGTTGGCTTCTGATAGAATGGTGTTGAGCTTTACATCTCTTGTATGTCCCTATTAATCGAGACTCAGAATAGAATAAAATCTTTTAAAACACCTCTCAGTTGCCCTGTCTCTGTAAAAGCTGAGAAAACCAACAATTTCCCCTGAATTTCAGATGGGTTTGGGAGCAGTTTCAGGCTCTGCAATTGAGGAGGTGCAGGAGCAGCAAGGAGGAGCTGTGGGTGTCCCACAGACACACCATGTCTTTGTGCTGGGATGAGGAACCATCCATTGCTCCTGCTCCACACGCTGGGAAATGGGACATCAGCAACTCCTGGGGCTGTGGCAGCACCAAAATGCAAGAAACCCAGAGGTTTCAGAGTATCTTTCAAATGCCTGACTCAGTTTAGGTTGGATGTTAGGAAAATGTTTTTTTATGGAATGAATGATAAAGTTCTGGAATGGCTGCCTGGGGAGGTGGTGCAGTCACCATCCCTGGGGGTGTTTAACAAAGCCTGGATGTGGCACTGGGGGCCAGGGTTTAGTTGAGCTCTTGGGGCTGGGCTGCACTCGGTCTTGAAGGTCTCTTCCAGCCTGGTCATTCTGTGATTCTGAGATTCTACTTTCATGATGATGAGGTTATTGGAAAGCCCAACCAAAGTCTGGGTCACAAATGCCTTTGCTAATTACAAATCACAGAATCCTGGAATGGTTTGGGTTGGAAAAGACCTTAAAGATCATCCAGTTCCACCTCCTGCCATGGGTAGGAATACACAAACCAGCAGGAGCTGGACTAGGCCCCATGATGTTTTCCCACATTATTCCCGAGTCATGGAGATGTCATCAACGGCCAACAGCCAGAAAATTTCTTTGTCAGTCACCTTCCACGAAACACACCTTGGGAATTGTCTCCTCTGGACACTGTGGATCACATGCTTAGACCAGGCCCACCTATCTACCACCTTTAGCAGCAAATTTTACCTCTCAACACTAAATCCCAGAATCACCAAGGCTGGAAGAGCCCTCCAGGACCATCCAGTGCCACCAGCATCACCCCAAACCCTGTCCCCAGGGCCACATCCAGACTCCTCTGGGCCAATTCCAGTGACTCCAAACCTCCCTGGGCAGCTCAGCCCAAGGCCTGACCACTCTGCCAGGGAAATTTTCTGTCCCAGTCTCCAACCTGAGCCTCCCTTGGTGCAATTTGAGGCCATTTCCTCTCCTTTCACTTTCACCAACCCTCCCTCACTGCCCCTCCTGCACTGAGCTTCTCCTGAGCCTCCTTTTTTCCAGACTGAGCTCCCCCAGCTCCCCCAGCTGCTCCTCCCAGGATGTGTTTTCCAGATCCTTCTCTTCCCTGGACACACTCCAACCCCTCAGGGGGAAAATCCCCCAAAACTCAGGAGGTTTCATCCCTGTCTTCTGGGAGCAGCCTGATTACAACACCAAGTCCATGCTTTTGCAACATAAAAATCTAATTTAAACTTGGACACACAGTTTGGAGGAAATTACAGGCTTTGTTGAAACACACGGATTTCTGCTGCTTCTCCATTCATGTATCTGTTTTTAAATAATGAAAAAAAAAATAAAAATCATGTGCTGCCATGAGGGGAGGAAAATAAACAGAGCAGGAAAAAAGCTAATTAGGAATGCAAAACACAGGCTTCTGCACCAAAGAGATACAACTAGGAGAACAGATGATGCAGCTCTTGGAGACTTGGCAGCAGGTAACAAGTTATTACATGGAGAGACTGAGGCTGGACTTTCAAGGGTCACATAGAAATTCTTTAAAGGACACAACATGGGGAAGTTGTTAATTCCCAGACTGATACACCAAGAGACACACAGATTGATTTTTTTACCACTTCCTGAGATTGTGCTGGAATTAACATGAAGCCAATGACAATAAAATTCTGCCTTCACAGAACACAGCCTCCTGCCTGCCTTCCCTCAGCTTCAGAGCTCTGTACATGGTGTCTGCTTGTTAGTTTGGTGGGGTTTGTTTCTTCTCTGCGAGAAACAACTTGGATTTTCCTTACCAGAAAGATTAACTGTACGTGCACTTTTTTACATATTGACTTCCCTTCTTCTCTTTCAACTTAATCAGTTGCAGACTTAACAATTTTGTTTTTCTGCAGAGTGGCTTAATCACAGTGCTCACCACATTCTCCCCCACCCCCCCCAAATTTTTTCCTTCAAGAATTTTTTTTTTCTTTTTCTTTTTTTTTTGTGCTCTATAACCATCATACCCTGGGTATTAATTCCAAAAACCAGAATGAGATATAAAATTATGGCAACATGAAAATAAATTTACCCATCAGGAAGAATATCAGATGACATCTATATGATCATAGAAGATGATACTGGAATTTTATGTAAACTTTTCTTTTTTTTGAACATTTTTGTGGTATTTTCCAAAATGTGAGCAAGGCACTTTTGGCATTCAAGAATATTAAAGCAGCTGAAATAGTAAGAGAGAGGTTCTAGCACAGTTTTTTATACAAATACCCTCCTCCCCACCCTGCAGTATATACTAAGAGTAATAAACAATATTTAATTATTTTACAGAAATTCCAAGTGTAAGGAGGACTTACACAACGACTTTTCATCCTACATGAACATAAAATGGGAACTGAAACCCCCAAAACCATGTTTGACTAATGTTAACAACTATAAATTTCATTGATGTTGTGGGTTTAAGGTTGAAACTCTCATTAAAGCATCCTGCTGTGTTACAGTATTGCAGAGACATTACCACAGCCAGCAGCGCATTCCAGATGTTAAAATACCTGGGCACAAGAGTTATAGGCAGATTTGTCCCTTCCCTTCGAGTTCCTTGCCTGAAAATCTCACTCTGAAGGAGGTTGTTTAGAGAGTATTGTAAAAGCAACACACACACACACACACACACAAAGAAAAAAAAAAAAAACCCACAAACAAAACTACCAAAAAAACTAAAAACAAAAACAAAAAAAAAAAACCAAAAAAACAAAAAAAAAAAAAAAAAAACCAAACAAAAAAAAACCACCACAAACAAAAAAACCCACAAAAAACACAAACCCTTTCCATTTTAGTCAAATCAATGAATTCCAGAATTATTTAGGTTGGTGGGCAACAGTTAGAGGAGAGAACACCATGAATGAGAATAGGTTTGCAATAGATATTGGGGAAAAAATATTTCTCTGGCAAGGTGGGGAGGCCCTGGAAAGAATTCCCAGAGCAGCTGTGGCTGCCCTGGGATCCTTGAAGTGCCCAAGGCCAGGTTGGAGCAGCCTGGGACAGTGGAAGGTGTCCCTACCCATGGCAGGGGGTGAAATTGGACAATCTTTGATGTCCCTTCCAACCCAAACCATTCTATGATTCTATCAAATATAAAAGAAATGTTGTTATTGACCCCAAAGCAGCAATTTCTGTGAGGGACACCATGCTGGGAGTCTGCTAAAAGCCACCAAATCAGGAAATGTGGGAAAGTTCTGAGGATGAACAAACCCTGCATTCATTTTATTCGGGTACCTGGTAGATGGGATCTTATGGGTGACATCTCTGAAGGAAAAAAGGAGCTCAAATGATCTGGTCTTTACAAATTCCCCCCACAAAGTAACCCTGTCCCAATCCTGAGGAAAATAAGGATGTAACAGAGGCTGCTTTGGCTAAAAAAGGGAATCCAAGAGTGTAAAAAAATGTTCAAAAAAGATGGAAGCAAGGAAGAATACTACAAAGGAGAAATGCAGAAATATTGACCAGAGAATGGAAAGCTCAATTGTATTAGAGATTGGGGGGA